AAGTAGTATCTCCTCTTTGTTAATAAAATTCATCCGCATCTCAAACTGTTGGTTACTAATTTATTTTGATACTTTTAGTATCATCTACCTAAACATACTATGTGGATATCACTATAATTTGACGAATGCAGAGACTCCAGAAATTACCTTTTTAGATTATATCTCACACCCGAGCATTTTTAAAGACAATTTTTGAAATATTTTTCAAATATACATTATTATGTGCTAAAGTTAGCTTCTACGAACTTGTGTATACCATCACTTTGTTATAACGATGCATAAATAACTGAAATTGGTTGGAAACAATACGGTTTATAAGAGTTATTATAAGATTTGTATATTGATAACATGTTATTGTAGGTTACAATTTAAGTAACTAAACTGGAATTAAGTTATGTACGTTAACAATTATTGCTATTATTACTCTTTCAAAATTTTCCTCCATAAAACTTTTTGTTTTTTGTTTGAAATGCCGTTTTATATCTAACAAATTCTCCAGATGCCACTGGATTTGTGTGAATTTGAAAGAAAAATCAATCTTTTTTTGTACACTAGAATTACCCGTCCGAAGACTAATCATTCCGACAGGAGATTCAACTGCACCATTGCACTGGCGGTTTATTCCTTATCTCGCATCCGTGCGGTCTATGTTATCTAATATTTTTCGATTAACTAGTACGCAACTTTATATTTCATTGGCATGTAAAAAAACGCACTTCAGTATGTATTATTATTTACAAGTTTGACGGTTTCAATTTATGTCCGTCCACTCTCCACTGCTTCCTATGGAATGAAATAAATAAACAAAACAAAAAAACTAAATCTACCAACGCCTTTAGTAAATCAAAGTAAGTATGTCGGATAACCCTCACTGACCTCTAAATGCGTAGAAGTATAAAGTGCAAATATTATTATTAATTGGAGTGCGAAAATAAAGTTTGATAAATGATGTGAGGGTTAATTTATTATTCCTGTTAATTACTGCTGCGCGAATGTATAAAAATGAATAAAAAACCGTCGAGATCGAGCCCATACCAGCGAAGCAAAATAAAAATCCAACTCGTTGCAATTTACCTTTCGGTGAAGAACATAATAAATTTTCTCTTTCAATTGAAGCGTAAAAATACGGTTAGAAAAATGTTGGAAACAATTTATTGTTCGTTGCCGCAACGACGCATTTGTTATTTGAAAAGTTATGGTCCCCAATTTACAGAACAGAAGAAGTTGTTCGAGTACGCAACAAAAACTCCACAACCCAAAAATAACAACGAAACAATCCAATATCCAGGGAATTGTAATCGAGAACCGGCCGAAACCATAACAAAAACACATAAGGACGCAATATCGAATATCATACAGCCATAAAACTTGCTATTCCTTTTTACTGTCCCATACATTGTAAGTTCAGCCGCTTTAAGAGCTAAAATCGTCTGTCGCCGCTTCGCTATCTAGTGTGCCGCGTTCGTAATAATAACAATCTCTCTCAGTGGGCCATGGAAGGACCCTACCGCAGGCAGATGTCATTTTCAGCGATAGTTCGCTTCGTTAGACGATGTAAAGATCCAAAAGCGATCCGGACAAAAACTAAGCTCCTTTAAATTATCGTGTCTGAAAACAGGAAATATTGTAATAGGCCCGGTTCTTGTCTCGATCCCACTTCTGATTTATAAAAGCTATCAGGAGCAACTACGGCTTTTACCGGCATTGTTTTTAATGTGCTTCTGCTTTGTCGGGTTTCGAACTCGGTATTGCATTTTCAAATAAAATTATTCCCTCTATTGTCTCCACAAGCTTAATTCTCTTCCCATCAGATGATGACTCCGTCGTTATTATCGTGTGAAGAGTATTTTACCAAATTATTTCACAGACATTTATCAACTGATTTACGTAAGTTTTTTTTTTTTTTTAATTAAAATGATTAATGATTATCTACAAATTACACATTTCAATAATACAGGCAATTCTTCCAATTGCATCACATTCTATTTTAAATCAAAGGCTTGGCGTCTCACAATCAAACCATGACTACCTGTAATAACTATGGTATTGTAAATATATGCATTAATTATATTAAGTCTAAATAAAAACAGAAAATAGGGAGCAGACAAAAAAAAAATGAAATATTGCCCAAGGTGAAACTATGTATAATAAACAAATTAAACAGAACATTCACGAAATCGTGTGTATGTTAGCGTTAGTTAGTTATTGGAGTGTGATTTAGTACATTCTTAAAGTAAACACACCAACATATTTTACCTATTCCGTACCTACATGTTATTGTTAACTATTTTGATAGCCTTCTTTTCATCTACATCTACCCTTGCAGTGTTTATAATGAATTTTGTACAATTACATGACAGCTAAAAAAATGGAATAAAATTATTTAGACAGAACTTACCTTGCCCCTAAAGTATTATCAAACAAATTTACTTTCCTAGATAATTTATGAATTTGATTTTGCGATTTTATTTTTTATTACTCTTATATCTTTCATTATAAAGTTTTGTCCTGACATCATTTTGTTTTATTTAAATTTTCAATTCTCTCAAAATGAAAACATTGGGGAAGTCCTTTTAACGTCTATATCAACAATTTCCAAATGAATGATTCATATGAAGTTTGGTTTTGAACCATTAATAAGTAGAGGGAAAAAGTAGAATCATTTGGTCCTTTGCATCCAATGTAGCTAATGTTACCTAATTCTGTATAAGAAACAAATAACGTTGGCTGATCACAATCAATGTAAAATATATTATCTTTCTTTTTAAGTATTTCCATAGATTTTAAAACATCTAGAAAATTACACACCTCTACAAATTTAAAACAGGTGTTTATATTCAATATTATTAATTATTCCAGCTGAATTCTGAATCTTTTTCAAAATTATTCAAAAGCGTAAGCCACTTTTATTCCAGCTCTTTTGAAATTTTTTAAACTAAACTAACTAAAGGGGTACTTTGAATTTTGGGTAAATCATTACCAACAATGTCCAAATGTCCCTGAACTTAGAATTTAATTGAATCTAGTTGTACCAAAGTTGTTTGTTCGTCGACAATTCATAAAAGTGGTTAGTTGATGTTCAATTTTTTCAGCAATACATCTGTTCGATTACTGTCGGATCGTTTGACTTTGTTAGAGGAATTGAATACTTCATTTCCCGTATAACTATCTACAACATGTTCAAAAATGATTTCAGAAAACTACTTTATATCTGTAATTAAAAGACACAAATTGAATGTGAAAAATTCTACCCGTTCCAACCCTTAGTTTGGAATAGTCAAATACGAGTTATGGGCTCTCTAAACCTTGTCACAGTCTAAAACCAAATATTCGGCAAAGTCAAAGACCGCTTCATATCATTAATTAATTATTAAGCAGCAATTGTTCACCACGGAAACCATTATGCCACAGTCGCTTTCCTTAGTAAATAATTTCCTGTTACTTTAATCACTCCTTAATAATGTACTATTCTTTCACTATAAATTATTATTCGACCTCAAGTTCGCAACGTTTTTTTTTTACACTTTACAAGAAACCATATGGTTTTTGATTACAACTAATTGTTGATAACATTTTAATTTGTAGTATGCAACGCAACAAGAGTATATTTATTCTACGTCTTTTAATTAATTATATTGACAAAATGTTGGGTGGGAGTTAGATCATATTCATGCCAAAATGATGGAATACAGGTCTAATTAATTTTTACCCAACAGAAGAAAACTGGTCCCCAGTTATTTAGACGGAACTTTCTTCGTCCCTAAAGGACAATCCATTAAATAAATTCGGTTTCTTAGACAAATATTAGGAGTAATAAGATCTGATTCTCCAAATGTTTCTTTATGTAGGATAATTTCTATATGTTAAAATAAAAATTGGGGTGCATATACTGATAAAGTTGCAGACAAAACTTAGTGACAAAGTGTACTCGCAACAAAAGCCTACTCTTGGTTTGTTTATACAAATCTCCTGAATTGTTTTTATTCGATTTATTAGAATTAAGTGTGGCAAATTATTAGTGCAGTTACAGTTTTTAAAAGATAAATATTAGATTGACTCGTAGCTATCTATGACATTAATTTTTTTTTTTAGTTTTCCTAAACTTGTGACACAAAATGGTGACTGTTATCAAATGAGGTGGTAAATTTTCTAGAATGAATGTCCCTGACATCTCTGCTTAGTATTTCAAACTAATAAAAACTGCAATATTGGAAACTTGCCGCTGCATATATGGCTCTATCTATTCTTTAGTAGTGTACATGTTACAGCTAATATCCGAAATCCGTTATTATGCATAATAACTAGACATTTTAGGAATTATGCGTAATAACTAAACTTGTCAGTTATTATGCGTAATAACTGAAATTTTCAGTTATTATGCATAATAACGGAAACGTTTAGGTAATATTGATAATAACTAACAGAGGAACAGAAATTATGCATAATAGCTGATTTCACAAAAAACGGGACAAGATGAGCAATTCAGGTTCTCATAGATCAATGAAAAGCAATGGGAATATGAAGTTTCTGTTACTGTAATTTGTCCCGTTTTTTTTAAATCAACTGTACATGTGATATGTAGGGGAAAGGGAGGCAGAGTGGGTAGCTTTTTTGAAAATATTGTGCATAATTCCTGTTCCTCTGTTAGTTATTATCAATATTACCCAAACGTTTCCGTTATTATGCATAATAACTGAAAATTTCAGTTATTACGCATAATAACTGACAAGTTTAGTTATTACGCATAATTCCTAAAATGTCTAGTTATTATGCATAATAACGGATTTCGGATATTAGCTGTAACATACATACAAACTAAATGGTGAAAATAGATTTTTGTTAGGGAAATTAATTTAATTGTGTTGGTAGCATTTTATTTTAATTATAGTTACATTAAAATTAATACATTGGTGACACTGTTAATTATTTCTGCATGTTTTTTGGGTTGCATAGCCACTCTATGGATTTTCAACGTTTTGTTTTTATGGACAATGTGTAGTATGGACCTTGAATTAAATTTGCGGAGGTAACCGGGTCACGCACAACGTCGTGGAAATACACTTCTGTTGTCAAATTGTTGATTTACAGTTTTTACGATGTACAACCGCTTGGAACGGCCTTTTGTTCGTAAGTTGTTACGCTTGCCCATGACATCACCCTCTTACAGAATAAAAGGTTTATTATTAGCCTAATTTTTTGGCAGAGATGCGGATGTAATTCGAACTCCTTGATTAAATTTAATCGGAACGATGGATGAAATAAAAAGTATCGTCAACCGAACTGTTGATGTACTGGAGCAAGACAACCGAGGTGTTCAAGTGAGTCACTTATAAAACGTGGATTTATGTTTATTTATCATCTGTTGTTGTAGCTTGGTTGTTACTCCGTAGCTTTGGTGGGGTTAACAATTGCTATAAGGAAGGTCCGCCCAGTAAGTTGATGTTTCCTTAAATGTCAGCAACTTATACTAAAGTTTGTTTTAAAGTTTTCTAAATTTCGAAAACCATCAGATATTCCTACTAAGTTTATAACAGAACGCAAAGAATTAACAGGAGTTGTTGAAAGAATTGACCCAAATGGAGCTGTACTTATGGTAAACCATAAACCACTTATCCCGCTACCAGGAATTTCTAATGGTCAGTTACCTGTTAAAATAACTGGAGTGAAGGTGTTTGGATTTGGTCTAAATTGGTTACAAACCATCGTAGTTGGTAATGAGGTGAAGTTCATTCCTATAGCAAAACAAGAAAAGTTTCTACAGTGCCAAGTTCTATTACCCCAGATTCAAAATGTAATTATGAATTTAAACCAACTTTGAGATTTTACATATTTGCTTTCAGAACAAAACACGAGTTATTAATGTTGGTGAATCTCTGGTCAAAATTGGTTTTGGTCAAGTGACTAAGGTTGACAAAAGCATGTCAAATGATCGTAATTATTTAACATACTGCAGTCGCCTACAAGCAGCAGAAAATTATGCATTAAAAAAGAAACTGGGGGCAAAATATTACATCAAACCCACAACAGATGCGTTGACTTCCCTTGCAAAAAGTTTTAGGAGACTGGCCTTCGATCTTTACAGACACATTATACAAATTCCAAAGTTGCCGGCCTCCTAGCAATCAAAGATATACTTAGCAGTTGAGGTGGTATTTACAATCTTACCTTTCATGGGTGTGTATAAAATAATAAGTTTTTTCTTTTACGACAACTTACACTGATGAAAGATTGAGAATGTAGCTACCACTCCAATAGTAGGTTTGCAGCTGTTGTATTGTTCTGTTGTTTATGCTTAAATAAAAATTTATTTTTCACTGGAAGTTTTATTACTGTTTTATCTTTATAAACTGTAAATATAAATAAAAAATAAAACAATCTGTTCGTAAGTGTATCATCATTGGGTGTACTGACACTATAGCTAGTAGGTGCCCACGTCCTACTTTCGTAAATCTAAAAAAATTTGAAATTTGTAAAGAAACAAATTGGAACGAGATTAAATATATTTCCCATGGATCATCAAGTGATACTGAATGCTAACTTCACTGTAAACAACAAATAAATAAATTAGGGCAATTTTAAAAATAATTCAACCTTGAAGTTGAAAACTTCGCAGACGCGCACGCCTATGTGTTTCTTAAGTAAGTTCAAAGATTTCTTAATTTGTAAATAAACCGTTTGAATTTAATACAACTGAAATATAAATTATCTAAATTTTCTCATGCACTTTATGTAATGATACGAATAATTTTAAAAACACGAAATTCAGCTTCACAAATAACAAAAACAACGACAACCTACGCCACTGTCTTATGACATTTATTAATTCGCATAGGTTGTGCTTGTCGCCATTGTGATTTCATAGACTGTATTATAACAAAAATAGTGAGTATTATTGACGATTACAAGTTAATAACAATGAAATCAGTTTATTTAAGTGACGGTCTCGCTAATGTTTCAAAATTCTAAGGGTTTATTGCCCTAGTATCTCTAAAAATCGCCATTTCATCTAATGTTTGACAGCTCTGTGTTGGGGTCTCTTCGTTTAATATCGTTATTTGTGCATTGTTATTGACTTGAATGAATATTCCGCAGTAATCATCTCTTGACTTGAAATAATCGAAGTTTATTTACAGGTCAAAATGCTTCCTGGCAATGTCGATCCTCGAAGACCTGATAAAGTACAGAGGTATAAGCCACCAACTGCGAATGCTAATGGACAAGGGGAAGATCTCACACCTGATTATATGAACATTTTAGGTATGTTTTACATTTTGCAAGCGCAAATCTTCAGATGCTTTTGTTGTTTAATCATCCAGTTATCTCAAACATTTGCTTCGAATTGTTAAACAACAATGAAATATTAGGTACAACTTGTTTTGTTTTGCTTAACCCATAAGTTTAAGTTTCTATTGAATGTGTTTTAATACAATTTGTTTTGAATTTTCAATGTGAAAAAACACTAGGAAGCGTTAATAATAGTTGTTGACGTGTTTATCTGTCGAAGGACACTATTAAAATGTTTTCTACTGTTTTTCTTTAGATTTGAATAAATACACAAAACAAAAAATTTTATTATTATGCACAATTTAGTTTTATTTACTTTGGTTTGAAATTGACATTCTTTCTTATTAAGACATATTTATAAAGACCTTAGCATGCCCACGTAAACAAAAAGATTATTCATTTTCTTTTTTCTTCAAAAAATGTGTGTAAAGTTACATATTATTGCGTCAGTTAAAGGTAAACAGTCAATGTACAGTTTGCAGTATGAGGGTACAGTGTAAAAAGTGCCCAAGTTACATTTTTTGAGAATAAAGAATAATGCCGGTTTTAAACATTTTCTGTTAAGATATCATAAGCAAACTATGTTTTATATAGTATCTATTTATCATACATTCATTTTATACTTTGGGCGAAATTTCTAGATTGGTTCTACAAATGTAGGGCATTATTATACGTGGTGGTGAACTTTTTCTAACTGTTTCCCAGATAATAAATTTTAGTTTGATCTTAAAATACTGCAAAATATGACGACCTGGAAGTATAAAAGCCCTTTATACAACATTTGATTTTTTACAGAGTAAAAGAAAAAAATTCACAGTTTCACTTTGATACCTTGCTTTAATTTACTTTATTGATCGTTATCGATCGTTAACCACAACCTACTTTCTATATGAACCAAAAATTCGCAATACATAAGGAATTACTATAGATAAACATTTTTCTGCAACATGTGAAACAGAGTACAAAAAAGGAAATGTTTTCCACTTTAAAAATGGCGTCTGTAAGAAAACAAACTTAGTATTCGCTATTCCAAACTCTAACAAACCATGATACTAGGATAAAAAAAAACACCGGTAGACAGAACAAAACTAATTAAAAATAGCTTTTATGTTTGTGGTACTGCAGTTGAATAAACCCAAAGAATTGCGACAGTATTATAATTTTGACACATTGTATAACCAGTTGGGAATAATTCAATATTTATCCTACCAATGCTGAGATAAAATCAGTCAGAATTTTTAGAATTAAATTGGTCGCATCCATGTTTTCCGGAAAACAAAAAAAAAACATGCCTTTCTTCAAGACTGTAAGGAAAAAGTAACTAAAAGATTTTATTCAGAGTAAACACAATGGACACTATTGCCACGTTGTATTATGAAATTTTGAATGAGTTGGCAACAGAAAATATATGTTCACACAATAATTATTTAAAAATTTTTAAAATTAGTTTAACGAATTTGCATCAATCGCTGTTGACGAAATCGCAGTGAGAAGTAAAAAAGTGCATCTTTGTACACACATTTATTAATTCCGTTTGATTCATACAGAATGTTATGAGGCCTGCAACTGTTATATAATTATCTTAAACATAATTTATCACTAATTCAAGCGTCACATTTTTAAATAATCGCCATTAATTTATTTATGTTGGTGAGTTGCTGGAATGACACTTTAATTGCAAACAGACCAGAGCGTATCAAAAAAAATGTATACATTGACTATGATCTTACAAAAACAAAGAAAGTTGCCTTTCTCAGTACTGTCAGTAAAATATTATATTACAATTTTTTCAACACACACCCACGCACTTGACTGCATCTACAATGAAATCTAAATCTAACAAAACCTTCCGTTTTAAATTTTTGCAGCGTCACCACATGTACTTTCCATTCCATTGCGGTGTTTGTAGGTCTTTAATAAATAAAAACAAATTATATGTTATAAGAAAAACTTTGTGAGGTTCTTCCAAATATTTACAGTTTGTAAATTATACTGCTAATTTTTTACATTGCCCACCACCAAAATTACTTGTTTCACAATCAGATTGATAATTACACCATTATTCCTGTTTTATGTGAGCCGACAAACTAAATGCCCAATTTAAGCCAGAATCATGTATCTATTTGTAATAATAAAATAATTTGTCAAAGACGAATTGATAAATAAGTTCTAGCAACAAATTTTACAAAATCAGTCGGAGCGATTTAGTCCGAAGTAAGTCATAGTTGTTATTTAAATGTTGGCTATTAATTTTATACACAAAAGGTTGTTCCACTTATGTGTCGATAAACATCGCCATCCAGTTTTAAAGCGATAAATGCTTGCTTCCTGATCGATAAAACCCCGCCTCCTGTTCGATTAATTCCCGCTTGCTCTTGTCAAATTAATTATGACTTGTGACATTTCGTAACGTTCAAAATATTTGCATTGAAACCAATTTTTCTGGCTTTATAATGATTTATAGTGCAAAACTGTGTAGAGTCTGCTAAATAATACGTATCTGTCTCGCACATACACCATTCTTCCTTAATTGGTAAAATGTAGAACGCTGCAAGTTCTACAAGTGAAACTCATTTTTGATCTGTATTTCCATAATAATTTTTTTACATGCGTTTTAATTCCATTTTTTTTTATTTTAATTTTATACAATTGCTTCGAAGTAAAGTAGATGTTGCTTGATGTAGTAGTTTTTCAGATTTTTGCATAAACATTATGTTTACGAAATTTGTATTCTTGTAATAGCACTTTTATGATCTGTCTGTTTAAATGCACAGAGTTTGAGCTTTGTCGCAAAACACGATGATGCAGTTGTGCAAATAAAATAAAAAATGTATTCTATTATTGTTTATAAAGTTTTTTAGGTTTTGAACATTTTGCATTGGTACCCATTTTTACGATAATTTATTTTTACCAATTTTGATCAAAATTGCAGAAGTAAGAATTATTTTCTAGACTGCTTATTGAGACTTTCCAACATCTACAGGTGTTCAAAAAATGGCGCACCAATTCAACAATACATGATTAAATTCACAGTCCAAGTTCAAAGAAAATATTTAAAAAATTCTTTGTCAATGTGATGTTCACTTACAGAAACAAAATATCGCAGTAGATAGATAAAAAAAAAACGTGAAAACTTAGCCACTGTCAGATCGATCCTAAACAACGTTTAAGTTTTTTGTAATGTTATAGAAAAACATCTATGGAATGCCTCTAAAATTATTTTGAGTAATGAAAGTCTAATCGATTTCAGATACCCAACAAAAAGTAGTGAATTACAGTATGGTGAAATTTCTAAAAGAGTATCAAACTTTTGCATTTCGATAAAAGGATTTTTTAAATTATTTATAAGCTTTGGTGCGCCATTTTTTGAACATTCTCTATGTAAAAAAATGCGGGCGTGTTATTCGCCGTTAAATTTTTCTCCACTTTGATATACCCTTTATGTAACAATTGTGTGAACTTTGTGTAATAATAGCGTTCATGTCACTAGTTTAATATTTGTATGAATCATAACGTAACAGTGTAAAAAATCTTGACTCGTGAATCGTGGAAAATTCGAAGTTTTTGAACAATCTACGCAGAGAGTATTTTATTTGCTGATAACTTTAAGATAAATTAGTAATTTAATTAAAAATCGAAATATATTTATATTTAATAGTATTTGTTATGATAAAAATATCATTTTAGTCCAGTGAATGTGTAGTATTTATGTGATCATTTTTAAAAGGATAGGTGTTGTGGAGACAACATTGTGCACGAGTGTATATCGACTTTTATAACAACGAATTTCTTTGTGTAAAATAAGTATACCTTACTTGTCCATCCTAGTCTACATTTTTTAAGATCGTATTTTATTTTATTTTACAAATACATTGAAATATTATTTATTCAAATCACACAGACGAGTCACTTGTGCCGCTATAAAGGAAAATTGACTTTATTGTTCAATTGCTCAATTATGACTAATTTTATCGAGCTATTTGCAACATGATGCTATCCTTGACACTCCTTGAGTACTTTTTTGTTTGATTATTACACAGCACTACCCGTTTTGTCGAAAAATATGTCAGATATTTAACCACAAATCATTTCCGTCTTGCGTTTTAATATCTAAAGTTCGGCTTTTGTTGTCTAATCGGCTGAAGCGATGAATCTTCATTTAAATGAATGTAAATAAGTACTCGCACGTAAGCAAACGGGTTCTATTAATATTAATGTAGTAAGGTTTACAATTATCTTTATCTCCGTTCTATTTTGAGTCAAATCAAGTCCGAGACGACTAAAATTAGAAAATTCATTACTTTCTCGTCCTTTTGTAAACATCGATCGAGAAGTGTCGTAAAATCGAAAGTGTACTTTGAGAACGACAAACCGACCTCGGTGAAATTGCGCGTATCATTAATAGTAGTTTTAAAAAGTGGCCATATTGAGTGTGAGTGGGTAACACGTGATTAAGAATGTCTTCTAATGTTTGCATTCCGTAGGTCAACGCGCGACCACGGCAAATGCAGCAACAGAGGCAACGGCAGACAAACACGTGGTGGACGGCGTCAGTGGCGTAAACGTCTCCACGGCGACGATTCCTGAATCGAATCTACAGGCCCACCATACGGCTGAAGAAGCCCAGGCCGAAGAAACGGCCCCCAACTCGAACACCACCAACGTGATACCCACCAGCCCTCAATACGGCGTCGCCATAATTCCAACGAACGTCAGCATCGCAGACTTACCCACAGAAACCGTCACCATATCCACAGATACGGTAATAGACACGACGGCCAAGCAGCCCCCGGACGACGCTAAAGACTTGCACTCGACGCCGAGCCGAAACGACCGCTTTAAGGTCGTCAAAATTGCGAGCTTGGAACCGTTCAAAAGGGGCAGATGGAAATGCATGGACTACGTCGACGAGGCGCCGCCGCCCGCCACCCAGCCGAGTAAGGTGACGCAGTCGACGGGCAGCATCTCCGTGCCGGCCGGCGGGGTGTACCTGCAGACCCAGAGCCTGCCCCAGCAGCAGATCCAGCAGATGCTGCTGCAGAGCGGTTTCACCAACGGAACGCAGTTTTTTTCCAACGTGCCAGCGCAGATGATCCCACAGACGCAGTACTTCTACCCCCCGGGAGCGAACATACAGACGCAGACGCTGCCCCAGCAGCTGGTGAACGCGACGGGAGTCCCCAGCAGCATGCAGGCCCAGTTCATCAACGCCTCGCAGCCTTACTTCGCAGCGGGGGTGGTGCAGAATTCCGGATTTGCCATACCACCCAACTACCAGAACGTTCAGTACGTCCCGGCTAACATCCTCCAGAACCAAGGCAGCGCTTTCGTTCCGACGTCGCAGACCGTGCAGCTGCCCGCCAATTTCCAGCAAAGCCAAACCTACGCCGGCCAACCCAACGTGACCGCCCCGATGGTCAACGGACACGCGTTTCCTCAGCCAAACGAACAGCAACAGCAAGTCACCTCGAGCAGCTTGCCGACGCAAGCCGCGAAGAGCGTGATCCTGAACACCAGCGTGCAACAGCCCGTCGTCAGCCAGTCGCAGATTTCCCAGCCCATCCAAAACCAAATACCAGTTGTACAAAACAGCACCCAATCTCAATCAGTTCCTGTCATTCAGAATCAGCAGTATCAACAGAATACTAACTTTCAACAGCTCCCGAATCAGACCCCAAATTCTAACCAAGTGCAACAGAACGTTGTACAAAATACTCAAGTTTTTGACCAAAATCAGACTGCGCCGAAAGTGGTCCCGACTCCGGCCATTTTCGACCAAAATCAGGCACCGCAAGTGGTTTCAGTTCCTTCTATGCTCGACAAGGGGCAAGCGAATAACGTGTATACGAATCCTCAGTTCGACATGAACGTCAATAGTTTAACGGTATTGGAAAATCCAGACGCTTCGGCGGACACCGTTAACGAGGCGACGAGCGGAACGGAAGTGGCTTCGGACAATCCCGACGATCCCTCAAAGACAAATCCCGTGGTTAACGCAATCGATAATAAAATCGAGCAAGCCATGGATTTAGTTAAGAGCCACTTGATGTACACGGTACGGGAGGAAGTGGAAGTACTGAAAGAGAAGATCGCCGAGCTTATGGAGAAGATACAACAATTAGAAACCGAAAATAATTTTCTTAGATCGCAGATTCCGAAAAACCAAGCTCCGGGGGCCGCGACTCCCATAATGACTACGTCAGCACCCATGGTGAACCCGACAACCACTACCACCACAAGTACCGCGCCTAACGAAACCAATCAGCAGTAGATTATGTTGAAGCATGAATTTCGTGTCGTGTTTAGTGTCGTGGGAGCAAGAGTGCGACTAGATATACCCTTCTGCTAATACTCGAACTTTTGCACTTTGATATCAGACTTCATTATGGCCTTGGTTGCTTTCTTGTGACGACGGTTTTGTTCTGTCTTAGTATTGGTGAAGTATTTGTTTACGCCTGAAACTTTTGTAACTGTGGTGATTGATTCAGTTACGGTTACGGCTTTATTTCTCGCTATTTTCCGTGTGACACTGCCATGTTCTGATATGTATGGAGTTGAACTCTTTGGTTATGTTACAATTGGAAATACGCTTTTGCTTCCCAGCAGAGGAGCTTCGCTCGTTGTGTTATTTTGAGGCGTATTAATGAGTTCTGATTGGCTGATCTTGTAGAATGAAAATGTAAATTAATTATGTAAAATTTTGTAAAGTATGTAAATAAAACTGGTCCCTTGCGCCTCGGCTTCAGTATATTTTAAATTTACAAAATTATTTAATTGAAAAGTATGTCAAGGGTTGGGGCCAGGTATAGGACTAAAAATGAGGAGAATATTAAGCCAAATTTTTTTGAATTTGGTGCTATTTGAAACTGTGATTTACATCATTTTTTTGTTCGTTGCATAAAATTTAAATTGCTACTGTTACAATATCACTATTTTTGTAATAATCCAATTTAAATTAGGATAATTATTATCAATCATTGTAGTGGAATATTTGTCCTCTAGTGTAGATTATCGTAATGTATACTCATCTAATAAGGCTTCATTTTATTTAGCCCTGTCAGGCCACAGTTTTGTTTTCAAGTGTATGATTCTGTGTGAGATTCTATAGTGTAGTTAGCTCACTATACCTATGAATTCTTTACATGTCTCAACATGATATAGATGTACTAGGGAAATTTTAGTAAATCTGAAAAGTTTATGGAGAACGTAGAAGATTATGGCTGTGTTAACGATAAAAATTGTTTCTTTCTGTAAAGAATGTAAAGGAATAATTGATTGTTTGAGATAACTGGACTGTACGAATGATACTGTAAGTGTATTTTTTATGCGTCTTCATGTGAAGAAACACATTGGAACTATTATTATTTTTACGTCCAGTTTCGTTTTTTTTTGTGAATTTTGTAATTTTTGTTGTGTTGTATGAATTATTTATTTTTTATTCAAGTACCATTGTATTCATTTCATTTGCAAACTAATCATGTGTTTTGAGGCTTTATTACAGAAATATACTTTATTTAAAAGACAGTTATTTTGTGAAATCAGTTTGTTTATTTACTGCTAGAGAATTATGTTCCTAAGGAGTAACCTTAATTTTGTAATAAAGTTACAAAACATTCATAATTTTATTACACTTATTACAGAATATATATAACATATAATAAATATTATTAAAATAATTTTGTTTTTATTTTAGGAATGATTTTCAGCATGTGCGGTCTCATGATGAGACTGAAATGGTGTGCCTGGGTGGCTTTGTATTGTTCATGCATTAGCTTCGCCAACTCGCGATTGTCGGATGACACGAAACAGGTAAAATATGTCTAGGCGTCAAGGTGTTTACGGTCTAACGGCAATTTTGGTAAGCTCTGGGAAGAAAAAAAAAGTTAAACTCATACATACAAAAAAAAAGTGACTTGAAAAAACTGAAATTTGTACTATATGTTAAACTGGAATTTTCTAAAAGATTGCTACGTACACTTTTACTTGATAGTTCGTTCCTTTTTTCTTTGTTCTACCTTTTCAAAAATAATGTACTAGTTTTACTAATTCTCAAAGCAATCATAATAATGTTATTGAGGTTAGTGACAGTTAATTACCTCTCTGATACTCTATATACCATTCCTATGGAACGCTTTTTCCCAGGGTAGTTGCGTAAGAATACTTACTTTTTTGAGGTAAGAACGGAAATATTACACATAAATCGTAAGTATCGTGGTAAAATTCAAAGTTTGAGTATGACACAGTGAGCTTAGAGCGATGTAGCACACGAAGCTCTATTTTCTCAACATTAATTATCTCTTATGATAATGTCACTGTTGAAATCACACAAGCGCCTCATAAACTGCTAACTTGATGCTTTAGCAAGAACACAAAATTTCATGTATGACGCCAAGATTCTTAAAACAAGTAAGTATATGTGGAACTATTGCCATTAACGTTGTTTCTCATTGAGTAGTGTGTAGAATTTTGTTTCGTCAGTAGTAAAAAGTTCCTTCCCCTAGATAAGTAATGACATTTTAGGGAAACAAACGCAAGTTTACAATTAGGTCTTTAGATAGGCACCGTGGTTGTCCTGTTGATGAAAAATTCTTGGATTAAACGGTTAACAAATCAATACTGTTAGAATTGTTAAAAAAGTGCAGATCTTGGCTAAGTTGCCCATGTCAAGATATTTCAAATTTTTATGTACCGATTTAAGCAAGCCCTTTGGTTGTTAGAAATGTTTGTAAATATGCAAACGTATCTTTCTGTCGTAATACCTATTTTGTCTTCACCGACTGCTAAAAGTTATTGTGAAAGTTTCAAATAGTTTGGCTTGCATTGATCGTGATTGTTCCACTGCACACTTAAGGTGCGATCAATAAAACACGTCGTCAAATTGGCGTTCGACGAGCAAATTGTCCTTTTTGGTTGTCTCCTACGCATAATGGGGGACGAAAGATAATTTGTTCGTTAAACGCCAACTTAAAGACGTTTTTGGTTGATCACACATTTGTCGGTATATTTTTGGTGTTGCAAATCACTGTAATTCTTTTTTAACAACAGAAAAAAATTGAAGAAAATTTTGTATGTACAACAAAGCTCTCATGAACTAAGTATGATTATATACGATATTATCATCATGAGAGCAATTAGTGAGGTGGTTGTAATTTGTACATACCTTATCCATAAGCAATAATAGTTGAGAGATTTTATATCTGCTTGTGTTTTGACGAATATATACTTATCTATTTGATTCCAATACATACTGTAATTTTAGTAAAACTATTGTGTCCCCTTTAAAACTGTTTAGCTTTTTTTTGGTGTTATAGATATACCTCTATTTTTCTAAGTTCTGTAAACCACATTAAATGTAGAGAATTGTATGTATGTTCATAGAATTTTACATTTGTAGCAGAGGCGGCTCGCCAGGTGAGGCAAGTGAGGCTGAGCCTCACCTATGCAACAAGACATCATAATTATCAGTATCCAAAATTCAGATACAGCTTCGTAATATTAATAAAGTCACGTATTATACAAAAAAAAATATATTTTTCACTGATTTTTGTCCCGCAAATTCGAAATTATTGATACGAGAGGCTCAGAATTTTGCGGTTCAGTTCTACCTTTATTTTCGCATGCAGCGTACATTGGTGACGCACGCGCAGATATGTTTTAGTATGCTGAAATGAGGCTGTCGTCTTTGAGCTTAAAAACAAGATAAAACTTGTTCGGAAATGTTCGGCCACTCCATCGTCGGTTCTAAAACCATTCGTGATTATCACGAGCAAGTTGCATCTTTGCAAGATTCTAAAGCATTCTCCCGCTTATTTTACGGTGCTGTGCGTGTGTTGGTCGCTACTTTCGAACCAACAGGTTTACACAGGTGTACGGTGTACTCAGGTAGATACAGGTTGTCCAAAGTCAAGGCATTTAAATCAAAGGTAGGATCTTTCCAGTGTATACTATTCGTTTACTTTGAAATGAATCCCCAACACGACATTGTTATGTCTCTGCTCGAAACGCCTTTTTCAAGGCGAAGTGAAAGTGAGAAACGGGAAATTTTACAGTATCGGCCCACGCATAAGATCGAAATTAATTGTCTAGAGAAAAACGTAACTCAAAAACGTACCTATTGCCGAACATTTCAGCTTTCATGGTACGAAAGCCACAAGTGGTTATGCGGTAGTAGATGCACTAACAGACTGTATTGTTGGCCTTGTTTATTATTAGGTAATGTTAAAAATGTATGGAATACCACTGGTTATTTTGATTTAAAAAACATCTCGCGAAGTACAAAGCTACATAATGATTCCAAAGAGCACATTAAAAATTGTATGGGCCTTAAGCGCGTCGAACGAAACACGTCAACAATATCCGATGCTGTGCAAGAACATGCAAGCATAAATAAAATTTTATACAACGAAAACGTTAGGAAAAATCGGCAGCTGCTAACTTACCTAATTGATGTAACTTTGCTATTAGGAAAACAAGAACTGTCATTTCGTGGACATGATGAATCCACCCATTCGGCTAATCGCGGTAACTTCAGAGAAATTTTTGACTGCATGATTAAACGTAACTCGGAATTAAATGAACATGCGAAAAAAGTTAGTCACATTTTTACCGGTCAATCGAAAACTATTCAGAATGAATTAATTTCATGTTGTGAAGAATATTTGAATGATTTTATCAAAAAAGAAATAAATAATTCCAAATTTTTTGCTGTAATAGCTGATGATACTACAGATATATCTGAAAAGTCCCAGTGTTCAATTACTCTGCGATTTGTTAATTGTAATGGCGAATTAAAAGAACGGTTTTTAGGATTCCATGATGTAAGTGCTGACCGGACGGCCAATGCTTTATTTGAACTGTTAATAAACGTTTTGAAACCATTTGATTTTGAAAATAAATTAATCGCTCAATGTTATGATGGAGCTAGTGTGATGTCGGGTGAATTAAACGGTCTCCAAAGTAAAATTAAATCTCTGGTTCCTTCTGCTTTGTTTACTCACTGTGCGGCCCATAGATTAAATTTAGTGTTGCAGCAAGGGACTAATGGAATTTCCAAAGCTAGAATTTTTTTTGCAACAGTTTTAGGTATTCCGGCTTTTTTTAATCAATCTCCAAAAAGAACATTTACTTTAAATAACATTTTAAAAAGAAGTATACCGCAGGCTAATGAAACCCGTTGGTGCACACGTTCAAAAGTTGTTAACTTGGTTCATCAAGAGTGGGATAAGCTTAAGGTTGTTTTTGAAACGATTGTTAATGACAAGTCCTCTGGAATAGAGTCTATTACAAAGGCTCAGGGTTTCTTGAAATGTTTTGAGGACTTTGATTTTGCTATTTTCACTGTAATTTATAATAACATTTTTATAATAACTGATCCCTTGTTCATAATTCTGCAGAAAAAAGTTTTAGATGTGAAATACTGTTTTTCTCAGATAAATATGGCTGTTTCACGCATTAAGTCACTGAGGAACGAGATAACTTTTACTACAATTTTTGAGTGTGCAAAGTTGAGGACTGGTATTCCAAACAAACGTGGGAAAGTAACTGATGAAGCAGAGTTAATTACAACTTACCGCATTTTATTTTATGAAATTTTAGATTGTATCACATTTCAGTTAGACGTGCGATTTACAGACCTAAATAAATTAGAATTTTTGTCTCTTGTGGATTCTGCCAAATATATTGATTATCGCAACGAGTTTCCGTATGAAGCACTGAACTCATTAATGAAAACATACCCAAAAATTTTTCAAAAAGATCGTTTATTAAATGAATTATCAAATATATATTATGATGATCAATTCCAAAATAGTGATATACAACGTAGTTTAAATATTATTAATAAAGAGTTCGAAGACGTTTTTCCTGAAGTTAATAAACTGCTATCTTTAATAGTAACAATTCCAGCAACCAGCGTAGTTGCAGAAAGAAATTTTTCCTGTCTTAAACGTATTAAAACTTATTTAAGAAGCACCATGTCACAAGAACGTTTATCTGGACTCGCACTAATGTCAATAGAAAAATGCTTAGTAAATGAATTGAGCAGAAAACCAGACTTTTATGACGAAATTATAAATAAATATGCCACATTAAAAGATAGACGTATAGATTTAATATACAAAAATTAAGTTTTCAACAACAGTTCCGAATTAATTTATTATTAGTTACTTTAATTGTTAAAAGCCTCAATTGATCGCGACAAATTATAATAATGTAGGAATACCTATATATTAAATAGTATTCGGCGGTACCCCAATAACCATCTTGGATGAGCCTCACCGACTTAAATAGTCGCGAGCCGCTACTGATTTGTAGAGGTTTCACATATACTTTAGTGAGCTGGGTATTCACTTTGTAGACGATTTTACAGTTCACAAAAATAAATACTAAGTTGTACATGTACACACAGTTCGGACTACTAAGTAGCGTTATTTTCAATACATCGACACAACTAAGTAATGATCAGAAAAGATAAATTTATCTTCTTAAATTCTTATTTCTTCAGAAGACTAATTCATGCAACTAAAAGCAGTGTTGCACTATTTATTCGTAATTGCAAATATTTTATCATGTTATTGTCATTTTTTAGTTCAGTTTCGAGATGGACGACGCTTTTAACTTAAGAACATTAATTTAAGGTCCATCACTTACCAAAATCTATCAATAAAATTTACAAAACCAAATGCAATACTAACTTAATCGCTGACTTTTAAAAGATTAAATTTCTCTTACAATCACAGAGACAAATGCATCAGTGTTAGTAATAATAAACTATTTTCAGATTTTAAGCTCCTTTATGCTGTCCATATCGGCAATAGTTATGTCCTACTTGCAAAATCCGCAACCAATGACACCACCATGGGCTGCAGCAGTAAATTAAAACGTTGTAAAAAAAAGTAAAATTTAATAAACATAATATATTATATACAAACATATAATTTATTTTAACAACCGTCTTTACCTTTTTGAACATTACATTCCCCTGTAACGCAAATTTCTTTGTTCATAAGTAAACAGACCCAACTCGTGTTAAAAATGGCACAATCTGATGTACATTAATCAATGAATATTCACACCAATTATGGCTTTTGGTGTTACAACGCAACGTCTCTGTATTTCTGCACATCATCAGCGGAAGCGTTACTTAGCGAGTTTTTGCTGCTTAATTTATCTAATTGCTTCTTATAGATGAGAAAATCGGGTCCATCCAGAGGTCCGTAGTAAATTGGAACACCGTAGTTGGGAATCGGTTGGGCATAGAACCCTGTTCTATTTTTAATCACATGACTTGACTTATTGATGTCATTTAATGCATCTACGGATGCATATTTCTGTAGCCTCGGCTGACTGAAATCAAAATTTGACATATTGGTGCCGTCTGCTTCTATTACGGTTTTATTTGCGAGAATCGATGGATAATTGATTTTATCTTGAGAGTCATCTAATATTCGTAGATCCATCATCGACTGAGCTTTTTTACCTGTAATAAAAGTAATTAGTAAAGACGTAGGTAAAATCTTAATACTTACTTGTTGGATTCATTTCATTAGTTATGAAATTCGGCATAAAGATGCTAGCATTGAATTCGCTTTGCGTGGTACAAAACTGAAATCCATCGAACTGCATGGACGCTAAATTATTAGGTATAGAGCCGTTCCAAATATGGGGAGTTGACGTCGCTCTGAAGAAATATTCGTAAGTATATATTTACTGACTCATCCACTATTGTTGTATACCTTTTGAGTGTCATATTGATTTCTTCTGAATTGTCGTAAGCATTGTTTTGGTAATACTGACTATTTAATTGTGGTAACGATTCCCTTGGTATAGGTATGGCTGTCATATTTAAATCCCTCAATCGTTTTTCAACTACTTCTTCATCTTTCCATGACGTATATAAGGACTGGATTAAAATTAACTGTATCACATTGACAATTATCCTAACTAACCAACTAGCTAATTCGGTTACCCCATACAGGGTTTCTATTCGCTGCGAAAAATAATTGTGAGAATCAGGGGAAAATTAAGTGTGGAATACATACCCAGTATTGGATACTCATGTAAATGACTAAACCAGCTTCTGGAAACGTTAATATTGTTACTGAGAACATCCAGGCGATGAGACAAAGAGTATTTTTCTATTAAAAAAGAAAAGTGAATAATTAATAGTCTGGAGCTAATGAAAATATAACGCAAGTGCACTTTTCAAATGTTAATTAGGCGTAGATAATGTTATGAATGAAACTCAATCTAATCACTGCATATCTACCAGTTTCACTTTCCACTGCATATCTTGGATCAGCAATTATTTTATTCAAGTTGAACGTTTTATCACCTAGTGTAGAAAGTGATTTTCGATTATGTTAACCAGTATTGTGTATTTACAAAAAATAGAATAGGCTTGGGGCTGGTTTTATGTTCAGTTCTTTTCGTGAAATGGAGAAAGTACTCTTAAATTATATTAATAGATTTATATGTATACATGAAAACTTTCTTCAGGATCAGATGAATATAAACTGTCTGATATATTTTAACAAAAACGACAATCAAACCTTTCGCAACCTTGATAGACATGCAGCGTCGTTTTAGAAAGGTCAAAGAATGATCGCAATAATGAGACTTGTAATGATAATGTTTAATGTAACAATACCCACGATTGCTTAAAGAAAAATCTGCATTTTATCTCGTGTGCATACAAATCTATTATTACCGTTGCTAATCCGTGGATTAGTAGTGCTGCAAATAGTGCCATTGTGAAATATCCTGCACATAACAAGACTGCTGCTGCTGGCAAGGCCACCAAGGACTCCAGAATCCATAATAATTCAAAAGCAAAGGCTATCAAATACGCGATCTGGAACAAAGAGACACTTAATTTGTTAGTGTTGCATGAGTAAATAGTATTTTCAGAAAAGTTTTGGCAAGAGAACCTTTCAAAGAAGATAGATACTAAAACCAATCTAAATAACTTAGCAAGAAGCGTCGTTTTATTGTAAAGTGTCGGTTAAAATTAAGTCTTTGATTAAAATAGATCTTATGCATAATAAAATTTTACAATTTGTCTAATCAACTGGACTTGTGTTATTCTGCTTTAGAGACGAGGGAATCACTTTAGAAATTTACTACTGCTAAACATTTAATAAGAAGAAATTTATTTTATTTTCACACACGTATTTAGATTGGATCTCAAAATTTATGGAAAATTTTCAGATTCACAATTCTTAAATAAAATTTGTTGTTAAAATTATCGTTTTTTGTCTGAAACAGACATTAATTTTTAAGTTACACATGCACCATTTAAAATAGCAGGTGATTCTAAAAAAAAAGACAAAGACAATACTTAAAGTTAACTTGCAGTTTATAACGAATGTTATAGTTCTGAGTCTTTTCAGAGTGAACACTCCACTTTCAGAATGGAATTTCACCTTGATTGCAGGTCATTTATCTTTTTATTACATTATTCGGTATTGTCTACTGTTATGTTATCAAAAGGAATACACTGTTTTGTACTCGTGCTATCATGACCTTCCTCATTTTATTACTTCCCCAGCATACGGTAGAAAAGTGTGGTAATTGGGTCATTCTGACAAATTTCTAATTTCATATTTTCTCGACATTTCACAGTCAGTACAATACGAAAATGTCGGTCTCCCGTTTCCGTCGGTTTATCGTCTGACGTCATAGCGATTTTATTAAATAGATAATCTCTCTAATAACTGAGCTAATGACTGCGAAAAATAATACATAATCATAACTTGTCTGTTCATCCCCATCAAAAATTTGATAACGTCATCGTAAAATTTTGAGCCTATTTTTTGAATATCTCAAAGTCATTTTCTTTCAAAATCCTGCCAGTCCGGTTTATCGCGATTTGATACAATTTGATAATGTTAATCACTATTAAAAGCAATACAGTGTAAATAAATATTTCAATAAAAAATTATTTATAAAACTGTTTGCATAAAACTAGCCATGACTTTGACAGTGTGAATTACGGAAGTATTTTATGCGCTTGAGTGATTTTCTCAAATAGGTACGAGTACATTTAAGTTTTTTTTTAATTTGTTACGTATATTCTAAACTTATTGTATGCAAATTTAAAGACAATAGTTTTGAATTTCTCATTAAATCCTCTTTACCATAGTCAACCACAATCCACTTTGTAAAGAGACTAAAGAAGGGTATGTATTGTATTGCGTTATTCGTTATTTATTAAAGCTAGACCAAAAAATCGTGAAAAATATATAAAATATACTAAATTTATTAAACTTTTTTTTCCATGATTAAATATAGCGCTCTTTGACAGTTCATATTAAAATAGAATTTCAATTTCTGAAAATCTCGTGAAGGTGTCGACATTTTTTCTCAAAGGATTCCAAACATTACACATTTTATTAAGAGTTAGTAAGCCTGACAGTACAAATACAAAAAAAAAAAAAAAAATAAATCGTATAATAAAAAGTCAAAGAGAAGTTATTTATTTATATTCTTTCATTACTAATATTATCATTATTTGTAATATTTAGTAACACAAAGTTAACATAACGATTTACATTTTTTATGTAATTTTGGGTGAACTTTAAAGTGATTGTAGTCCATAGTAAAATGCTGCAAAAATTTAATACTTCCATAAAATAACGGTCCCAATTTTTAAGTTTGTGTTTAAAAGTATAAAGCTAACTTTATACTTTTTTTAAGGATGCTAAAGATTTAAATTAGGCAATAAATCAACCTGTTCGAGTACAATTTATGATCATTAGATTGAATGAAAAGTCACCTTATAAAAAGAAATACATTTTAAATACAAAATCCTTTACAAATTAAAAGTTCATAATAAATTCCCTTCACTTTTTGACACAAGTGGAGGCGATTAATCAATTGATGAATAAATTGAAAGCTAATTTTCTATATTTTTTTTAACTGCACTCGTAAGTACCATACAAGTTTGAATAAAATTTAAATAGAAGGTACCACATCAGCTCAAAACAAAAAAAAAACGATAATATTCAAAATGGAAAAGGCTTCCAAATAACATGAGACTTAACACTCCTTGCCATTAAAGATTTTTAATCAAAAAGATTTTTATCGTCAAGTTGAAATTTATAGTAAAAATTGTCTAGTATCATTAACCATTTTTAAGCAGTTGGCGGGTTTAAAATTTTATGCAAAAATACGCGTTCTTATAAAAATTTGTTCGATGGTTTTTTAAATGTAAGAGGATTTTCTTTTCCTTTATAAGTGTCTTTTTATTATTAATTAATAATTTAATTAAGCGCATATAATGATAAAATAAAGGTTATTACCTCAACTTACGATCATTAATAGTGAAAGTCACGAAGATAACTTATTTTGTGTGTCTTATTTGGATTCCGATACACTTTCACCGTCAACCAAATGTCGCTGGATATACACCTTGTAGATTTAATTCGTAGAGAAGTTGTAGATAGTTAATTAAGTAGTAGTGACGTTACGTACTCTGTGGAAATTCTAATTAAGAACTGAAGAAGTATAAATGAATCTGCAAAATCTCAAACACCAAGAAGTGTTTGTTCTTTTCAGAACAAGAGCTATATGAAATATTAAAAAAATTAAATTTGATATTCGTCTTTAATTAAATATTACAAAGAATATTCTAAATTGCACGGGATTAACACAGTATCACTTTTTCTAAAGTCATCAATAACGATCATATTCGCAGTATTTTTATTTATCTTAGAAAGCTGTAGAAATTTATCAAAGAAATCGACCAGATGATTTGTTAAATTAATCAAATTATTTGCTTATAGTTCCAGATCATTTCTACTTTCATCATAATTTATAGAGGTAACAAAAAAAGAACCAGGTGGATAAAAATATCTGACGCTATGCTATTTAAAACAATTTTTTTTCAAGAATGTGTCCCCATATCGTACTACCTTTTACGTCTGCGGTGTGCTGTTGATTCATAAGACAGTAATGTAACTGTTATGTCTAGTCCGACATGAATTCTTAATTAATCTAATGTTAAAAATATATGTATTTGTGTTATGCGCTTGAAATCTATTTAGTTAAAAATGGAGATAAGTGTAAATAAAAATCTAATTAAATAAAATCGAGTGTGTGGTTCCACTCTGAGTTGGCAGCGTATAAAGCGATGCATTTTATATGAGAGAATTCGTGGAGATGTCAGATTAAAAGCAGGTTTTCTGTTCGATACATAAGTTTAGCAATTTCTTAAAAAAATGTTATTCCTGCTAAAATTCTATTTTTGTGTATTAAAATTTGTGTGACCAACAATTTGATGATGATGGATTATGAATAATTTTTGCTTCTCGAGCGTAAGCTAAGGAAGTATTGTAATCGGGTGTTTTAACAGACCGAAGGTTGTCGAATTTTATGTGTACGTTAGGAATAACGTGTAGATGGTAAAACGCTAATCATCCCCATGAACAATGTGATGACGTCCCTTCAAAATGTTTCTGGTATGTAGTATTTAATTCTATAAAATAACATATTCTTGCACTTGTGGTTTATGAATCCGCTTTGAGGCATTCACATTGTATAGCAACTTTTTGTACTAATATAAGCGGAGCTCGAACAAAGTTATTCAGTAGATCATGTACTCAACAAAGTCATTTTTTTTGTATTAATGTCTGTAAATTCCTTTTGAAAAAAATATTTCTTTGTTACTTGTACGAGACTGTATTGAAATTTGCAGACAGCGAGATCTCTTTATTACTGAAGTCGACTAACGGCAGAGCTGTAGATTATAGTCTACAATTATTTTTGGAAGCATGAAACATTTGGCAACAATCTTAATAATAAAAAAAGCTGGTTCGCTGAAAATTGTAAAACATGTTTTGCGTTTTATTGGAATCAGTACCGTTTATTTATGTCTCGTTAAAAAAACTAAGACAAAAAACCTCAAACAGATGCTGAAACAAAAAAAAAAAAACACACAGACTGTGATAAATTGTATGTATAAACTGCATGTATCGAGTTCTTCAGAACACCGATGCATTTTTAACATCAATATGATTACAAAAAAATCTAACGTGAAGTGTATTGCTAAATATAATGGGTTTTATGCGGTCATTTTAAGCTAGAATAATGTAAGTACCTATATAGAAGCAGTTTTTACAACTCCCTACTATACGTACCTATTTTTTATCCACAGTATATTAAAAAAAACCATGCATGTCCTTGTTATTATTAACAACCAGTAGTCGACTGGTTAAAAATATTTTTTATTGTTGTATTTATTGCTCCATAAAGCATATGCTGACAATAAGTGAAAGCCCTGTTATTTCTGGTGAACAACAGATTTTATTCTTGTTACAGAAGTACATATTTCATAGTTTAACGAGTACAACAAAACTGAAGTTTTTTTATTCTGATGATCTACACTGTTTGAAAAGTGTATAGTTTAATATATCGATACACGTACACCCTGGTCATAAATTAAGTGAAGAGATTAATGACCACTTGACACTGATAATTTTGCTGTGAATTTTTAGGCGTTTATTTTATTTCTTACTTGCTAGTTTGCGAGAGATAATTTCTCAATGTCTGAAACGATTTCACCTATGTTTTTGTTCGTTTTTTCGGAACAAATTAAACTATTTATAGTTTTTGACTAAGTATTACCAAAACTGGTGCCAATTGCTTCATTTTTGACAATGTATGCAACAGCTGGTGGTTATTCATTTACAAAAAGTGTAATATTTACCTCTAAGCGTGTTATTACATGCTAGGATAATTTTCAATGCATTTTAGTAGTTTTAGTTTTCATGGTCATGGTTGCCGTAATTAGTTTATAAATAGAAAGTATCTATTGTTTAACATTGCTGCTCAAATTAATTTATTTTTTCATTTTAGAGCATAATCTTGACAGTTTCCGAGAATGAAAAATTATTCTGCTCATTATTGTAGTAAGAACTACACATAAATCATTTTAGTTTTTGTAAGTAATTAGGAATTTGTGGGTTTTTGAAAGCATCAGTCTACCAATGAACTACCTATTGTACATATTAAGATTTAGTAAAGAGATATCTAGTTATGTATAATGAATTTTGTTTTCCCACGAATAGACGGAAATCTTTGGTAACCACTTAACTACAACAAATTCATTTACATTTTACGCCCCACTTGTTAAATAAACTCTTTCGTCTGTTCATTTTTGTTTCTAAGTTTCTTGGATAAATGGAATTGCGGCTATTATGAATAAAAAAGTCGTAGCGCTGCCACGCAATAACGCCTACGGTCCTCTACCAGTTGAACCTTGAAAATATTAACCGCCGATTTTACCTTGTTTCAGGATATTACGGTGAAAGTAAATTTGTTTTGAAATAAAGATGGAACAATAGGTATTTTTTAAGATGTCATCGTTATTCGCTAAACTTTTGAGGAGAATAATAGGTGAGTTTGAAGACTACGACGTAATGACAGTAGTTTTGTTAGGTCACAATTTACATAATATTATGTGTGAAGGATTTTCCCACTTTTTCATCTTAAAATTTGTTTAGTTATTTTACAAATAATTAATTTTATTGCATATACATTTTTATCTATGTTTACATAACATAATTGCTGCGATTTCGGTTTGACGCTTGTTTCAAGATTTTGTTGTTGTCTGTATTACTGAAGAATGTTAATAATATATTCTTCACTTGACAAATAAAAACGGTACAAACGCCTAGTTTAAAGAAGCTCCATTACTTCGGATCAAAATAACGTACCACATTAATTCTGGGAAACTTTTCGGTTTTCTTCTTTGTACTTTAACCTGATATTATTTTTTGTATACTCAATAGAACATATAGTTAGATACTCTGAACTACTATCTGTTGCATTTATTCCCAAGAATGTTAACCGCTACTTCCGAAAGTAGACTTCTCGGCCCTCAAGTTAAGAAGAGGTGATTGTGTACAAGTTGAGTGTAGGTTATTTTACAAATTCACTTATTTTATAAATAACTAAAATTTTAAACAATATGGATATTGTAATTCTCAAACTTCTTCAATATCAGCGTTCAGCTATTTTACTTTTCGAACCGAAGCAAGGGAAATTCTGTAATAGGGTCTATATGGAAAATGGCTAATTTCATGTTTACTCAACATCGAAAAAGTAGGTCTTCCGTTTCTATCTGTCCGTCGAATCTTGTGTTAGCTATTTTAGTAGACTGATAATCTCCGAAACTATTGGACTTATTGTTGTGACTTGTTTTAAGAATATCATGTCAAAATTTTACTAAACACCATAGTTTTTTAAAACCACAGCCAAAAACTATCATTCCTGAGTTTTTAGACCTCCGACTAAGAATTTATGTTTTAAAATGTAAAAGTAAAACTCACTTTCCAATGCAATAACTGCAAATCAATAAAAATGATCAGAACATCATATTACTGCGTGGGTTGCATTTACGTTGATTTCACTGATGAAAGACAGACACTGCAGTATTCTGCAATCTCTATAGTTTATTGTGTCAAATGATGATTGATTCCAATACTCTTCCTATTCCTTAATGTGTAAGAATAAATTAAAAATTATTATCTGTTTTCATGATCAGTTTAAGTTCATTCTATATTTTATTTAATTAATTTAATTTCATGCGCATATCTAATAATTAACAAGCGAGATATTGCGCTACTAAATAAAATCTGAGACACCCGTCACATAAATATATATGAAACAGTTAATTAAAAGTCTAAATACTCTAAATTAATGTCATGTACACAATTTCTGCAAATATATTTAATAGGTTCACAAGAAGTTTTAATTAATTTCAAAATTATTTTAATGACTAATGTTTCTTTCAATTAATAAGAAATAAATGGATTTTAATTGTCGGCATAGTTACGTATTTTCGATGGTGTAATATAGAGCGAATTATTCCATAATGTAATTATTTAAAGTATAACATGACATTGGATATATAGGTAACACTTTTACAGCCATTTTCCTAGAAAGTCGTGTTACACTTGTACTTATTTTTTCCGACTGATTTATACTACGGTACTTGTAGTTGTAGTGATCTAACATTACAATGCGATCAAAAACGACCATAAATAGCCATTAAATGATTTAAATAACGCATGTGTTGATTGAACTAAATTGATTTTTAATGTATTAATACTCGACATGTACTAGTATCTACCTATTTCAAGAAAACCATGACTATTTTTTTTTAAGTTACATGTTTTATTAGTCCAAATGTTTTTTCAATATTCTGAACTCAGTGAGTATTTAAAAATATAAAAAAGTAAATATAAATAATACTTATTTAAATTCTATAGACATTACGAAATTACATGTTAAAAGTAACTTTTTTAATTTTCGAATTTTTGGAAACTGATATAGTATATTTTCATATATTTAATTTTAAGTAGGTACTCTGTGGATATTATATCAGGAGCAATAAAGACAATTTCTGCTAAAAAGATGTTACATACACTTGGGAAAATGTAAGTACATGACGTATGCCAGAAGCGTAATCCTCAATAAAGTTTCGCTTTTTTTGGACGTTATTTTTCTATCATTTTGAAAATTTTGTTATAGTATCCCTTATTGTCACTTTGATGTTTGCAGTTTAAAAGATGTATGACGTTGTATCCCGTCAGTATACCCGAAATGTCAAAAATGACAAAACTAAAAAAAATAAGGCTGCAAGACTTTAAGGTGTTTTACATTTTGTAACAGTGGAATGACATGACAAGTAATTAAAAAAAAACTATAGCGGAAACAGTCCTTAAAATGGTATCACTGGCAGTGATATTTTTTTCAAAGTGAACAGACGGTATCCATGGTTTGCTTGCTGTCTATGTGGACTTGACCTTAAAAGGTGAAGAGCGATGAAATGTCTAAAAAATGTCATTAACCAGTTATATCAGTTTAAACACTGCTTTCATGCTCTGCTGCAGTTTTTCTTGTGATAGCACAAATTTTGGTAGTACATAGTTCATAAAAGTAAGTCAACTATGTGTGTTATAACTTATTTTGTATTTAAGTTTACGCTAGTTTTACGAGTGCATGTAATTTTTTTTTCTCCATTTATGGCCAGTTAAGAGCATGTTTTTCTTCATATATCGACAGGGGGATTCAATATTAGTATCTTTTTTCAATTTAAACAAAATAGGATTTATACATATAGCAAAATTTTCGAATAAATACGGTTGATAATTTTGCTATATAAATTGACTAAGTATTTAGTAAGAAGAATTACATCAGTTTAGATGTATACACTTAGTGTAATAGAAACGGCTACATTGTGTTATCAAAATTTCAAGAAAATAAGATAAGCCGCAACTTAAACAATTTTTTAATACATCATGTATAAACAATTCAGAACATTTCACATGAGATGGACTTTGCATAATTTAGGGATGACGTTATGAAGTGTTTGGGGGGAATGAACAGATAATAATTCTGATTAGCGATTTAACATTGACGATCACCTTAAAGATTGTGCAAATTCAAGAGCAACGGCTATTTTACCTTCTAACATAAATTATTGGAAGATGTTGTAAAATTTTATTAATTTTTTTTTATAAAAAAATACAGCTAAAAATAAGACTGAACTAATAAACCATGGATAAAGAAGTATTTAGCAAGAGTTTGGAGTGACGACGTCATCCAGTTTTTGGTAGGGATGAACAGATCAATTTTCGTTAGCGTTTTACCATCTACATGATGTTCTTAAAATACATATATTTCACAACAATCTATCCAGTATTTCGGAGATTACGCCTTGTACTTACGCGGCTAAGAACTGTTATAAATTCATTTGGATCAATATAACGAAAATCAGTTTTTGAAGAACGAAGGATATAGAAGTCAATTTGATATAGGTACATTTTTGCTTGTAGATTTTACAATTGCCATTGAGATGAATGTTTAAACCAGAATGAAATGGGGGGAATTCATCCTGATGATGTGGATTCCCCGATTTGTATTTTGCCAAGTAATTGTTTGTTTTATTTTTTGTCCGTTAAATTTTCACACGGATAACAATAGTAAATTCCGAGTAATCAACAGGAATGGAAGCTATAATAATATTGTAATGATGAATTTAAAGATCCGACCCATGCTATGTTATGAAGAAAAGTTAAAAAAAACTAGAAAAATCAAATTTTTTTGTAGCTTTTTTGTTTGCAAGAAACCACTCAAATTAAAAAACTATATATGGTCACCAAACTTAAAATTTAGCAACTCTTTTTTGAGTGGGCGTTGATTGAGAAAATACAAAGAATTTACCAGGAGGTATACAGCAAAAAATCCAGAGGCTATGGCTAGACTGCAACAGAAACACGATTCCACAAGAGCCATTTCTGGTAACTTAACACTACATTTTAAGATTTTGCACGATATTTATCACATGTTTGATGTAGCACGTATTTTTACACTTTCACTATTCATGTAATTTCAAATAACAATTATTTAATATTTTTCCCAATGTAGTAACACTTTCACATACACACTAGTTAAGAGTAATATTACGATTTAGCGTAAGTTTTCCCGAATTACACTCACGTCATTGTTGTGGAAGTTTTCTTTAAAATGTCTTTTAACCTTCAGTACCACTGGTTCCTACCATGGGTGAGGTAAGAATGAATGAGTAATCCAGCACTGGATTATTCGCAAGCACATTTGAATATTTTGTTCACGTGCGTATTTACTTTCTCTTAAGGTAATCTCCCACTAAAGTGTTTAGATTATGGTTTTATCTCCCGTAGATATGCAACCCATTATACACCAGAAATATGTAGAAATATTTACCAGGTTACATGTACTCGAAATTTTTAGTTGTTCGGTACAAACGTTTTATGGAATTAAATGGAATACATTGTGGGTAATGTGTTTCTTTTGAGGTAGCAATTTGAATATCAAACGTATCTGCTAGACGAAGGTAATGCCGGAACACTACGTGTAGCCGGCTTCTACCATTTACAATATTTTAAACATAATTTTGTGATTTCATCTCACTGCCGCGAGCCTTGTAGTTGATTAATGAAGACATCACCTGACAATAGTTTTACATGGCTCTGATCTAATCTGGTTGGAGCTTGGTTGTTATCACCAAACTGATCAAAAAAAGAAAAAACTGATGCGTTTTTTCTGGATTTTTTTTGTAAATGACTAGTTTGTGTCGGAACTTTTCGACTGTCATCACAGAGGAATAAGGATTAATTGATGTTGTAATAACAGCAGTTTATTAAATTACAAAAAAAGCTGCCATTAAATAATTGGACAAGGCATGTCCAACCCTATTAAATTGAGTATGTGTGTTTTGAATTTACTGAAGGTTTTTTCCAAGCAACATGAAATCAATAGCAAGGTTAAGGTAAAGTGTAAATTGTTACATGATTTTTCTAGGAGTTAAAAAAAAGATTTTAATGAACACTCAAGGAAACATATTTTTCATGTGGTATATTTGCTGATTCTAGATGTTGAACGATGTAGGTATAACATAAAAAATGTTTCTAATATGGCTACATTCTGAACATCTCAATGGTGCTCAGCTGCTTCTTTACGACGAATTTCAGCCCATTTTGCAACATTTTCAGGTGAGTTTGCTACCAAAAGAAATAATTTATTATAAAAATATAGAATACCATGTATTTTCATACCTAATTTGCTTATGGAATTGAAGATTGGTATACATAAAACAATAGCAATTGGGTAGTATCTCCAGATCCAGTTGTTCTTGACATAAAACTTAAAAGGGAACTGTGCAACTTTTGCAGTAAATGTGTACGGAAATTTCATCGGTCTTGAAATTTTTTCAACTTTATCAGCCATGATTGTAGTTCACCTAAAATAAAATGGGTATTTTAACAATTACACTGACAATATATTAAAAAGAGGAAAGAGTATATTTGCTAAATGCAGTTTTACTTAATACCGTTGTGGTTTATGTAATCACTAATGTTTGGAACGATTTACTTCTCACAAGTGTTAATATACCTAAACCAGTTTCGCATGAAATTATTAAACTTAACATAGGGCTTGCAGTGTAAAAATCTGGTTATATAATATCAATTTTACCTGAATTTCCAGCCGACTGCTCTAAATGTAGGTGTCCGTGGACGTCAAATGATCACCGCTGTCAAGTGTCAATGTCAAAAGTCATAACTGTCATCGAATGTATGTGTCACTAACGGTGCTGCCAATAGAGAAAATTAACTCACCTAATTCCTGCAAAAGAGATCGCTGTTGATCATAATGTGATCGCTGATAATGGTTAGTTCATAAATTTTAAATCAATAATGGGATGCAAGCATTAATTCCAAAAAAACTAACCTTGAAAGTAATAACATTACTCTGACATTACCGTCCTAAAATCACTATTGCCAACACAATAAAAATATAGGAGAAGGCCGCGAAAACCAGAGACTTTAAATGTGTACGAGGTTGGTAGAATATTAAATTAGTATTGTTTAAAACAATTTCAGTTCACTTTGTCGTACAGGATAAATTACGGAATTATAATAAAATTACCTTACGCTTGGCAAGTAAAAAGTAGGTAAATTCGTTATAGTATAGTACTACATTGCTACCTAGGAGGCCATGACCAAGTGCCATAACGTGACAATTGTGAATTTGTGTCGAATTTCATAAAATTTGTTTTTCTTCTAATTCCGTAATTATTTTATTTTGTACGATAAAATGAAAAGAAATTGATTTATAAAATACTAGTTTAATATTGTGCCAAATTTCACTTGGAAAACCCTGATAGAAAATTTATTAACACGACTCAAAATATTTAGCACGAAAATCCTTATGGCCATAGTCAAAAAAATGCACTGTATATTTTAATTTCTATGCATTTCTAAAATTTAGTTCTTCATTTTTTTTTTTTGTTTTCTATTTGATTGATTTATTTTACATTGTAAATATATACAGCGTGTTATTGAAAGGTACGTACAAAATAAAATCGGTAATTGGTCTCGAAATATGAGTGCTAAAAGTAAAAAAAAGTTCAGGTAAAAGTGTTCTCCTTTTAGAGATAAAAATTATTAAAATTTTTTCCCAAATTCGTTGTACGCCTCTGACAAAAAAATCATCTTTCGTATCTATAGCAATATTTTGTCTTGACAAAAGTTTTATTGTTACAGTTGCTAGGATTTACTAAAATAAATCAATTTTTTGATGGTTAATTGATAACACAAAATAAGCTTTTTAGACTTCTTAGACTTCGTGAATAACTGTCAATTTTGTTGTACGTACCTTTCAATAACATCCTGTATAATGACGTTTACTTTTTTGTCTCGTTGGCATTGCAATTAAATACAAAAAATCAGCATCACATATTCTTGCCACAACATTCTCGGATGAAAAGAATTTTAATTTTGATGGTCCGAATGGTTTCACCTCTATTGGAGAAGTTTAAGAGAAGAACTCCTCTGAATGGAATTTTGCTGGAGGAGCATTTTCTAGAGGAGTACTTACTCTTGTATTTTCTTCCACAAAAATTAATAGTGGAGAATATGTTGCTATTTTAAATCATCACTTACTACCATTTTTCGCGAGATGGGAGAATAGTTATTTCAGCAAGACAGTGCGAAAATTCGCACAAGTTGGGCAACACTAGGATGGTTAAGGAGTGTGAGTTGTAAGGTGGCCAGCCAGCCGGATCACCAGACGTAAACCCTATTGAAAATCTTTGGGGTATTCTAATACGGAAAGTTATGGTGTTAAAAGCGTGGTTAATTAGGAGTATAAATTCTAAATGTGATTAACAGAAATATTTAACGAGAACTTACAAATTCTCAATAATAAGCCTCGAGGTTTTCTTGTGCTGCATGTTTCTAGAATCGTAGTAGTTACAGATCTATTATACTAACACCAGTTGGTACTATGTTAATACGGTATATACTTTCATACTGTGTATAAAATACTTCTTCTTGCTTTCTGAGATCTTTTTGTCAAAATACTACAGTGACGTACTAGTCAGTTCGGACGACTCTTCAGGAAGTGTCAGTGATTTCATTTCAAGCAGGCCCAATTTTCTTCATTTAGATAGAAGGGTAAACTAAAATAGACACAATGAACTAAATAGTGAATGCAAACAAATTAGTATTCGTAGGAAAATAAACAGTAATAAGTACCTCTAAATCATGTTGGCTGTTAAAGTCTTTTAGAACTGACCATATCCTTTCTCAAGTCTGTCACAAACGCGGCCTGAAATCTGGATGAAAAATGAATTTAACAAGAACAACAATGCTGGTGTCAAATATTTGCGTCGGTAAGCACATCTGTTACAATTTTTATGGCTATTCAAATGGAAAAACATACGTTGAACAATACCTAACATAAGAAAAGAAAGCACTCATTTTAGTACAAAATTTCAAAGCGAGTAAATCGAAAGCTAAAATGAAGATGAGTATTATACACTTTAAACGTAATTAGACGTGTTGTCAATTTGACAAAGACGGTCGTTGATACAGAAGTAAACTTGATTAATATTTTAGAATTGTACGTAGGTACCCTCTCAGGCACTTTACTAAAGTTATAAAGAAGACTAAAATACGAGTCAAAATACTTGCTAATCAGTAATGCTATGCTACATTTTTTTGTCATTTTGTATCCCAATGAAACTATACACGGTTGTAATAAAGAGATTTACTTTTTGTACCAGTATTTAGGTACAGTTTATTCCGTAATTAGAATGAAGCTCGCTAGCTTAGTTGGTTGAAATATTACAAAGTCATGTAATTTAGTTATTAAGTTGATTTCGTTAACGATCTAATTATCTGCTATTAGACCAAATCAGTGACGTTGATTATTTTAATTTTTAAATGTTTGCGAAATGATCATGTGAGCTAAGATTTATAGTCAACAATAAAAATAATTGATAAACAAATGGTGATATGATAAACTATAGAATCCGTATAAATTCTGGTTGCAACTGACTTTCATAATTTCTTGTTTATAACTTTTAGATTTTGTAATAACGCAAATACCTACGTAGTAATTTTAGTAAAACCACGTCTATGTATTTTACTTTTAGACCGACCACCAAAGAAAGTATTCTACATAATAGGATAATTTTGAGAAATGTTTAATTTAATGTTTTATTAGATTTTAGTAAAATACGAGTATGAAAATGCGGATTTCGCATTTCTGTACAGAAATTGTCTATTTTTGTCTCAGATATGTGGACCTATAATACCTGAAAAATAAAAGACTCCTTTACCTGTGGCTTAATTCACTCAACTTTACCCATCAAAAAAATTAAGTTGGAGAAAACACGTTTGCACTTTTTTCTCAGATTCTATTCAAGTCTGAAATTTGGTAGTATTCTACATTTAAAAAAAGGTATTAGACCCTTTTGACATCTGAATAATCCCATATCGATGAAAAACATACCGGTAATAATTTGTAAAATTTACAGGTAAGTATGGCCATATTTTGTTGTACAAAATGCTATCTGTAAAGTTAAGGGAACAGATTTCATTGTTTCGTCGAGAGTATATTAAATACGAAATTGTTTGTAATCCGCTTTCTTCATTATTGATAGTTATAATCTGACAATAAACAAAAGTGTTGTGGTTAATATTTATGCTTGAGTGAAATCAGTCAATATTGTAGGACGAATTGGAAAACATTGATAGATAATAATTTGTGCCTAACATAACAACTAGCAGTTTTCTTCCATTCATATGGATATGTAGAAAAAAAAACATAAAAAAAATAACTAAAAAAAATATTACACTTAACACTCGCAAAAATATTACTAAAAAGTGACCAATCTTCAACATTTTAAAATTTTACGGGTCACTGGATGTAAGAATCTTAAAAAAAATGTATTGTAAATTGTATGTATGTAAACCAATATATCTGTCCAAACTAAAAAATTAATGGCGCACCATAAAATTTTATTAAGATACTTTCACTTAAAACATAGATACGTCAAAGTGCCCCTTTACCTATTTTTTGATAATCCATCCCTATTTTTGTGGTCGTATTTAAATTTTAAACGTTATTTTGCAGAAACCAAGTATTTTTATGTGTTAAATTGGTGTCACACATATTTGTACATAAACGTTATTTTATAAATTATATATAGGTATAAATTTATGTCTAAACAAACAGCAAAGTGTGGTATCATTTCCAGTACTCCAATTATAACACTGGTAAAAAAATCAGACATGAAATTATTTCAGTTTGGTAAACTACCCAAATCTAGGTATAAATTTATCTTTTTGACATTTTAAATCTTTTAGTGTCAAGAAAGTTCTGTATCTGCTGACCTCGCGGAAATTTGTGTTAGTTGTTTTAACAAATATTTGTTTACATATGATCCAAAATATATCTTATATTTTTCTTTATCAGTTCTAACTCAATCAAAAAACTGAACTTGAACTATCACCGAGTAAATCTTAAACAAAAATAAAAATATCTTAGCTATATCCATAAACAGTGTTTTCGAAAATTATTATCTATATTATTTTTTATTATTCAGTTTTATTTAAAGTCGTTGAAAATAATTTCGAAAAAAGTGCTAGGTAGGTTCATTACCAAATTATAATTTTTTAATAATCGTTTACCTCAACATGTACTATATTACATCACACAACTTTAACTGCGTCACGATAACTTTTAACCTTTAACTTATTTATCTTCAACGTTAAAAAATAAAATCTTGTTCATTCTAAATCGTTCGTCACTTCTAGGGTACTTTGTCAGGATGTCGGCAACAGAGGTCCGCGGACAGGTTTTGTCTGGAACAGCAGTAGCTAAGTAATTTATTTTCCATTTTTCAAAATATGTACATAATCCTTATAATCGCTATTTACCAATTTTCAGACGAATTACTGAACAACTCACCAAAGATGTAGAAAGACTGAAATCTCGTGTCCCAGATTTTGTACCTGGTTTAGCTATAGTACAAGTAGGCGGACGTGAGGATTCAAATGTTTATATCAGACAAAAAATTATAAAAGCAGCTGCAATTGGTATCAAAACACACCATATTCAGTTTCCTAGAGAAGTCACTGAAGCTGAGGTTTGTTTGAAAATAAGTTTTTTTAATTAATCATGTTCATCTTGTCATCTTCACTGTTGCTCTTTTTATTCCGTACACATTTCTTTATTAATGTACCTATTGTTTTAGCTAGTTACTCAGTTAGAATATCTCAATGATGATCCCCGCATACATGGAATTATTGTACAAATGCCTCTTGACAGCGTTAATGATATAGACGCTCGTCTCATCACAGATATAGTTTCACCTGACAAAGATGTTGACGGGTAAGTGTTACTGTCTGAGAAAGTATTTTTGTAATTTTTTAAAATCTAGGTTAAATACAATTAATGAAGGAAGAGCAGCTATTGGTGATTTGCATTCTTTTATTCCTTGTACTCCAAAGGGTATTATGGAGTTGATTAAGGGTACCGGAATTAAAACTGAAGGTGCAGAAGCAGTTGTGGTAGGTCGAAGCAAAATAGTGGGAACTCCCATTGGTGAGCTTTTGAAATGGGCCCATGCAACTGTTACCATATGTCATTCAAAGACCCGTAATTTGGAAGAAACGGTAAATATATATTTAAAAGTCTTTAGGATTATTTAATTATGACTGTAATAATGGATAAGTTTTGATAAACTGTTAAGACATCGATTGTATTTATCAAGACGCGGTTACACAACTGAACTATTTATTCAAAGTAATTTATCATAAACAAACATATTAATAGACAACAGTTTATCGTTAGAATAAACACAATCAAAACAAATTAAACCGAACAAAGGACGGATCCCGATTTTCTAAGAAGTCTGATTCTTATCTTAACTTTTATAGTGCAGAAGAGCAGATATCTTGGTGGTTGCTGTAGGAAAACCAGAAATTGTGAAAGGGAGTTGGATTAAGCCAGGTGCTGTTGTCATCGACTGTGGTATAAACGCTATCCCAGGTAAGAATTTTTATATTAAGAAAACATTTTTTATCAAGGGTTCACAAAAAAATCACAATGGAAAGATAAATAGAGACACGCGTTTTCTGGTGGTAACGATTAAATTAAATTTTAATATACAGAGTGCTTATAAAAATTCTAAAATATTAAAATTTTCTAAAATTGATGTTTCTTTGATTTTTATTCTCTTTTTTATGTTGGTGGTCTTTTAAAGAAGTGGAAAAGTCACAGAAATTAATAAACTATTCAATTTAGATATAGACTATACTGAACAAAAAAGATAGGGAATAAGAAGCATAGTAAGATTCACTAGTAAAATACAGGGTGTTGTATTGAAAAAAAACTGAATTAAAATTTTTCAAAAAATTGGGATAATGTGGCAACGTCTCATCGTAAATTCAAAAAAGTTGCAAATCTAAGAAGAGGCCATTCAGATTATGTAAAAATGTGTAGGGTGTTCCTTTAAAAGTATTTTCGGCTGTAGAGGGTGTTGTTCATTTATTTAACTCTTCTGTCTTTTTTATATATTTGTTTAGATTTAATCTAAACAAAATTATTTAATCACTTCGCCGATAACATTTTGTCTGGTGTCAGCCATCAGTACCATGCAAAAATAGTTAACACTTCGCATAAAATTTTCCGGCTTATTCATTAAATAATTAAAGTAATGTTGTATTAACGATTATAGTATACCATATTACAACATTCTGAAATTTATGTAACCATGTAGTAACAATAATATGTCATCTATGATACTGAACATACAAAATTCAGTCTAGATTAATTTTTTAAATGCCGAAAAATGTTTATATGTGCTTTAAATCATAATATTTTTTTACTTCAACTGTTTTCCAGTTCTCAGTTTATTTTACATGCATTTGACACGTTAATGTTGATAATTTTTTGGGTGAACAAATAAAAAATAAATCTTCGTATGACCTTCACTAAATACGTACAAATTGTTTAAGTCAAAGTGTTAATGGAGAAAATTCGAATTCAATTCTTAGCGTTCAGTTGTCAGTTGTAATCACGCATTCACGTCGGTAACATACGTACAAGTTCACCAGCCAAAATGTCTTCAGAAGGTAATAAGGATGAAGGTAAGTTTAACATTTTTGGAGTTCTAAAAATGTTTTAATTTATTTCTTTATTGCCATTGGAATAATAATAATAGGAACGACTTTTGAATGATCATAAATAGTGTCTTAATGTTTTAAAAATTATGGTAATTCTAGTTATAACGCATTCTAAATGATATTAATTAGTATTTAAGTAGTTGTATTTTTAATTTTTAGTTTATGTATTCGACAAAATTATGCAGAGGTCAATAATTTGGAATTTTTCTACGTACAAAAACATAAATGTAGAATATTTAATTTGCATGAAAAGTCGGTATGTTGCAATATAATAGCTTAATAGCTATCAGTTACATGCAATGTAATTATCATAACTGCGTATTATCCACGTCATAATCTTTACTGTCTTTTTTGCATGAAATAAATAAGCACAATATTCAGATTCAAGTTTCAAGAATTTTATCCGTATTTGCTGTAAGAATAATATAAATGTGTGAATAATTCTTATTATTATCTTCGATTAAGTGATTATTATTAAAAATTATAAAATAACTACATCGTTGGTCGCTGGGATTATATCTCTGCTGATCTTTCCGCAAACGGAATCGGGTGTATATTTATCAATGAATGATTCGAGACCTTTGTGATATATATTTTGTTCGCCAAAATGCTTTAAAATATTTCTGAAGTTTAAAGAAAAATTAATAAAATGAATGGTCACTTTTGCAAAGTAAAATAGCGATTTTACGCAAAGTTATTAATTTTGGCGTCTTTTTCGCATTAATCCTTCTTAATTCATCGTTTTATTGTTTACCGGCGTCCTTTTTTTATTTATATTCAGTTTCGATTTTTGTAAGTCTAACTTTTTTGATAAATACATACAATAAGTATTTTAAGTATTTATATGCAGGTAGTACATTTTCGATATTGATAAGTATACATTAGAATTTAAGTTTAAGATAGTATAAGTCAGATCGCGTTTCTCTGGATAAAATTTTAGGTTCTGCGTTATGTTACATTGTTTATTGCTGATTTACAACCCACTAATCTAAACAGTACACAATAATAAAGGAAATGTCAATTGACCGCTACCACCTTCTTTTTTTTTAATATTAAAATATAATAATTAATGTGAAATGTTACAACATCGAAAAAGAAAAATATAAAATCTAAATGAAGCTTAAAACTAACTAATTTAGGCATTTGAGCAGAAGAGGTAAACTGAAACACTGCTATTTAAAATTATTTTTTTAGATATTAAATTAGACACCGAGTAGTATTGAAAAAATAAAAATATTGTAGTTAACACACTTCAAAATATATTTCAAAAGAAAAAGTTGATGTCATTTCTGTAAAAACAAAAGTAAAATAATGCTAAATTGATAATCCATACGTTTCAGGTTTATACTTTTTCAAATTATTTAGATAATACAGTGGAACAGATAAACAAAACATATATTTTGTATGTACCGAATAACCACATAATAATAATAATAATAATAATAATAATAATGATAACAATAATTTTTCATCGTTACTCGTTCAAAATACGGTACTCGAAAAATATTAATACCTAAGAAAATCGTGTGCATTTCCACAAAAATACCTTATTATTTTTGGGATGTCGTGTTAATAATGATAATTATTTTAAAACGTAAAAGGTTTTATTGTAGGTTTAATTTTATGTGTTGCAAAAACCAGTGTAAACAAATTGTGCAAATATTTTGCACTTATTGATACTTGTCCTCTAATTAGGAAGTCACTGTTTGTCGTTAATGTGCATATTTACTTAAAACAAAAGTTGCACACTAATGGAATATTTCGTGTGTAATTGTTAACACTGATTAAAAATTCAGTTAGTTTAGTTTCTTTTTCTTTCTAATTGCTTTTTGGCTCCCAAGTAACTTATACTGTTGTTTCATTTTTCTTCTTAATTAATTTTAACTCTAATGAGGTATTATCATGATTAGGAATAAATGCAACATCATTTATTAAATAATAAAAAAAAATGTTTTAAGCAAAATTTTTCACACATTTTGACTGGTTTAAAGTATTTTAAGTTTTTATTCATGAACGTAAGCTACGGAAGTATTGTAATTGAGTCTATCGGACGATTCGTACTTTTATGTTTTCTCGACGTTTCATCACCACTAGAATTCGAAAACATAGATCTCTCATTTCCGTCTGCCGTCTGTCTACGTTTGTGTCTATTTTTGTTAGATAGATAATCTGCTGAACTACCGGGCCGATTGTTTTCAAAGTTTATATGAATATTAAGAATATAATGTAGGTGATAAAACGCTAACCAAAATTTATCTGATCATCCCCATCAATGATGATATGACGTCATCTACAACTTTTAAATAGAAAATGTTGTTTAAATTTTATAAAACAATATACTCTTCCATTTGTAATTTATCAATCTGTATCGAGTGTTAATAATAATAATTTTTCATTAGAAAAACCTACATTTTCTTCTTTTTTTTAATTCAAATTTTTTAGAAGCTGGACACTTAATTTGGAACAGAGAGTATTTAATATAATAATTTTTTGAGCTTCCATAAACTTTGCAGAGGCGATGCTTCATAGTTTTCTCCAGGATATTTGCTTTGGCTTCTAAGTGCGACACTGGTCATGAAATAATTATTGCTTTAATTAGTTCAGAATGACGCTTGTTTATCAGAGTGCCCTAAAGAATTTTTACAAATGACTTGTACACATTTTTTTCGAACAGCGAAATTTTAATGTTCTTCAGTGGGTAGTATATGAAGCATCATTTTCTTTTTGGGTAAAATATTTCTCAACTAAATAATGTCTTTTAGAGTTCTTGTTTTTATGAGTATGTTATGAAGTAGACATGTAACTAGAGGTAAGGACTGGAACTTTTATTTGATATGAAAACATATTTCAAAAACACATACAATGCAAGAGTGGTATGGTTATGGATAATGCGACAAATTACTAAGTATACACAAAATAAAGTTGAGAACTTTATTGTATCAGAAGTCTAACGATTTGCTAAAAATTTCGAAAAATACTGGATTAAGTATTTACTCAATAGAGTTAATATGAACAGAACCGAAATCATATACTCGTCATGAGAACATTAATTCAAAATTACTGAGATAATGCTTTCGCTTTTATAACGAAAGGAATGACACAAATTTCATAAACAAATTGGAAAGAAGATGCGTGGCATTTTTTTCATTATATATTTTTACAAAAAAGATTCGTGTTCTATGGCAACTGACTCGTTTAGGTAACATGGGTGAATAAATTTTAAGAATTTTTCCATTATTTATGAAGTTCTATAATAATTTTTACGTTTGACGTTAGTAATTGGGTTAAATTGTTTCAAATACCTATACCTACAGTTCAATACAAATATTATAAATAAATAACAATAAAGTATAAACAGAAAGTAGAAACAAATAACAACAAAAGTTAGCTGATAACGACAAAAGTTGACGAAATATGTCGAAATAATGGGGGCGAAATATGCCTTCCATTACGAAAAATTCACTAACAGAAGCCTTTTGTTCTAGATGCTACGAAAAAAAATAAGCAAAGACTAGTCGGTGATGTTCACTATGAATCAGCTAGCAAAGTGGCGTCGTATATTACACCAGTTCCAGGTGGTGTTGGGCCGATGACTGTTGCCATGTTAATGAAGAATACTGTTCAAAGTGCTCATAAAACAGTCAACAAATTAGTAGAGGCAAGATGGGATTTGCGGATTCTTCATTTGAAACTTAAGAAGCCCGTTCCAAGGTAATGCTGAATGTAGTTACTAGAATTATTAGTATGAAAACTGAGCTCATTTTAGGGACATCGATATCGCTCATGCTCATGAGCCTATAAATATTCAACACATAGCAGAAGAAATAGGAATATACCCTAGTGAACTCATTCCATATGGAGCCAAAAAGGGCAAGGTATCGTTATCTATTTTAGATAGATTACAGGAACGAAAAGATGCTAAATACATTATAGTTGTGGGGTAATTATTTAGCTTTATCGGAAAGTATTTATTTCATCTTATTTCTTTAGAATAACTCCCACACCTCTAGGGGAAGGAAAAACTACTACGTCAGTAGGTTTGGGCCAAGCTCTTGCAGCCCACAAAGGAGTGAATGCTCTTGTTACTTTGCGACAGCCTTCCTTAGGTCCTATGTTTGGTGTGAAAGGTAGTAACTTGTGAATTACATATTAAAATAAATACAATATGGAGTAATCTAGGTGGTGCAGCTGGTGGGGGTTACGCCCAAGTTATCCCTATGGAAGAATTTAACATACATCTGACAGGAGATTTGCACGCAATTACTGTTGCTAATAATCTAGTAGCAGCACAGTTGGATGCAAGAATCTATCATGAAGCTACTCAAAAGGACGATGCTTTATACAATCGTCTTGTACCTGAAATTAAAGGAACAAGGAAGTTTTCCGATATTCAACTGAGAAGACTTAAGAAACTTGGAATAACTAAAACCAACCCTAACGAACTAACAGCGGAGGAAAAAACTCGTTTTGCTAGATTAGATATAGATCCAAAAAGTGTGACCCTGAAGCGAGGTTTGTTACAATTGAAACATGTACCCATGTATTATTACTATAATTTTTTGTAGTATTGGATATTAGCGACCGATACCTTCGTAAAATCACAATAGGGCAATCGCCTACAGAAAAAAATTTGACTCGCGAAACGGGCTTCCAAATAACTGTGGCAAGTGAAATAATGGCTATATTAGCGCTAGCCACAGACTTGAAGAACTTTAGAGAACGCATTGCTTCAATGGTTGTAGCTTTTAACAAAAAGGGGGAACCTGTAACTGTTGATGACCTAGGAGTCACAGGAGCTGTAATGATCATTCTTAAAGAAACTATGTATCCCACTTTAATGCAAACCTTGGAAGGATCTCCCGTTTTAGTTCACGCCGGACCATTTGCTAATATCGCTCATGGATGTTCTTCAATCTTAGCTGATAAAGTAGGCTTGAAATTAGCAGGAGAGCAGGGCTATGTGATTACTGAAGGAGGATTTGGGTCTGATATAGGGATGGAAAAGTTGCTAAACATTAAAACTCGTGTATCTGGACATGTTCCCAACTGTATTGTTCTGGTATGTTCCGTTAGAGCACTAAAGATGCATGGAGGTGGTCCCCCGGTAACTCCTGGACAACCGCTCGCGTCAGCTTACACACAAGAAAATCTGGAACTATTGCAAAAGGGTCTTCCAAACTTAATAAAACACATCAGCAATGGAAAGAAGTTTGGTTTACCGGTTGTTGTTTGTGTTAACACATTTGAGTATGATTTTGTATCACTTTTGCAACTATAACAAGTGATAATTTTATATTCTAGGACCGACACCGAAGCTGAGCTTAAGTTAGTACAGAGCAAGGCTAAAGAAAATGGAGCATTTGATGCTGTCGTTGGTAACCACTGGGCAGAAGGAGGGGCTGGGGCAGTAAAATTGGCAGACGCAGTTATCGCGGCTTGTGAACAAAAGAGCAATTTCAAATTTTTATATGAGCTCGATAAAACATTAGAAGAAAAAATCAAAATTATCGCAACGGAAATGTATGGCGCTGGAAGTATTACTTACACTCCTGAAGCAGCAGCAAAATTGAAAACGTACCAAGAAAGGGGCTTCGGGAAATTACCTATTTGCATGGCGAAAACTTCTGCGTCTCTTACGGGAGATCCCGCAGTCAAAGGAGCGCCTACTGGATTTGAACTAAAAATTAATGACGTCACTTTATCTGCTGGAGCTGGATTCGTTGTACCTATTATAGGAGAGGTAAAGCGATATATCAGTAACGTTTTGTAGATTATGTTATAATTTCGACTATTTTTAGATTTCAGTAATGCCAGGTTTGCCAACCAGACCAAATTTCTTCGACATGGACGTAAATATTGAAACTGGCGTCATAGAAGGATTGTTCTGATTTCTTTATAGGGAATCAACAACTTAAATCATTCATTTAGAGGTTGAAATTATTGTAATATGTAGTATATCAAAGATAACAATAAAATATATACCTCTTTAGAACAACTCTATGTTCTTCTGTGTGCCAACCAAAGTTGTGATAACCCAAACATCTTGACCCCAAATTGAGACAAAATTATAAAACCCGCAAAAAAGGAGGGAAAAGTTGTTGAAACAAGCTAGGGGGAATTTATTTCTCGACTGCAGAAAGCCTCTTCGGGTTTCAAAGATGAAATCAAATGTTACAAATCGATACAAATATTTGAATACCTATCCCAAATTTAAACACGCAAAGAAAAAATTAGTCCAAGGACAGAACATCCCTCGACTTTAAAATACAATCAAACAAATCCAGCTTCTTAGAAAAATTATAGTATAACTTGATTTTGCGAAATAATTATGTCGGCGATGCCAAAGCGTCCCTTGTTCCGTTTGACATTTACAGTCAAATAAAGTGGTAAATAATAACTGTACTTCCAACATTATAATCTTAAAAATAAATTTCATGCCTTACTAAACGACTTTCTTTCGATCATATAATATCACTTGGGATAGGTACTAATACTAATAATAAGTGCTGTATTTCCAACTTTTTGAGAAAATAGAGTTAGCCGTTCTTGATTTGATTAATAAAATAAATTGCTTAGTTCATTAATTTCTTTAAGTTACCCTGTAAAGCAATTCTAAAAAATATGACCCATTGAGTAGACACTCATTTGCATTTTTAGGTAGAATTTATATTTTTTGCACATTTTAGATAGGATTTATCCAGTCTAGTAAAATTTTGAGATGACATTTTCAAGTTATTTATAACATTTAAATAGCATTTACACCCCAAATTTTTGAGATGACGTCATGAAATTATTGGTGGCGATGATCATACAAATTTTTATTAGTGGTTTGCAAGCTACACAATATTTTTTTTTTTTTATATTCCTAACTTATACCATATACATACATACACCTAAACTTCACAACAATCAGCCCAGTAATTTTAGACCATAGACGATAAACGGAAATGGGAGATTTTTTCTTTTATATAGAAGTATGAGTATGTAACATCGAGAAAACATGCTAATTGGAGCATATACAGGTGTTCATTTTATCTATTCACACCTGACAATTTTTACATAGGTAACATATTATACACCCCAGAGACGACTTCGTCCAATTTTTTGTTTTTAAATAAGCAATCATAGCAATCACAGAAAAAAAATGACAAAGATGTCAATGTCAAACAATGACAAAATTGAAAAAATTAATACTCAATTTATTAATGGATCAGATTAGAACGACAACGAATTTATAATAAAAAATTTCCACGAACTCTAACATGTCGGGAGTTCTAGATCTGCATTCTCCCTATCTTTCGATCTTTTTAAATGTCTATCTTTTTCCGACATTCTTGCACGTTGTTTTCTTTTCACGTTCATATTCTCGTTTTACCGCTGCCGTTTTCTTCTTTTTCTAAAACATAAAATAATATGGGCGGTAGCTACTATAGAAAAGAATTCATCGGTAAAAGTAACAATAAGGAGACCGTTTATTATTATTTTTTTTTTATAATTGGCAATAATCTGAAATTTAGCACATAGCCATCAATAGCCATGTAATAGATATTTATTTTATTAGGAGTTTAAGTGATACTTTACGTGACGGAGTATGGACGATTAAACGCCGAGCAATAGCGAGGCGAATTAAGTCCATACGAGTCACATAAAGTCACTTAAACTCCGAATGAAATACAATATTTTATTTTCAAACGATTAATCTTCTTTTGAAATGATTATTTCCTATCTTCGTGCTTTATTAAGGAATTGCCTTGATTTCACTTACCATGGTTACTATGGTTGACAACCACTATGATTTTCACATATTTATACTCCGGCGGAGTATAAATGTTTTATTTATACGCCGGCGGAGTATAAGTTGTACTTATGCGCCGCTCAAACACGGTGTCATAGAAATGACACTTAAACCCCCGTAAGACCGTCATATAAGTGTCAGTTATATGACGTTTGAAAATAAACAATTTTTTTTTCCAAAACTTTATTTGACAAAAATAATATTTACGCTATAAAATTGACGATATCCTTTCTATGAGCGGGGATCGTCATTATTTTAGAAAACATATTTTTTAAAATTCCAAATACCTAAATGATGTAAATAAAACGTGAAAACTATAAAAACAAAAATAACTCACCTGTTTGGCCATTTTTTTCACTCACTGTGTCAACTTGACAGAAGCGATCACAGCCTCCTCGGTTAAAAGCAATAATAACAATATCCATAAATAAATGTGGAGTATTAATTTGTAGGTGCACATTTAAAATATGTTTTTCAGTGATAAAGCAATTAAGAGACGTTGAATCATAGTTAAATAATTATTTATTTTTGTAAAATTTACGAAGTTTACAAAAATAAATTATATGTAAATAATATGCATTGTTTATGATAAATTCAATATTTAAGAACAATTAAAAGAAAACAAATAAATGTAGTACGAACACGTTTTTGCCCATTGTCGTATTATGTCCGATAAAAACTCTGCAAAAAATGTCTGATACGGTGTTCGGCGAGAATTTTTTGTTCGTTTTTCCCATTACGCAAAGGAGTTTTGTTGGTTTTGACTTGGTCGGAGCGAGTGTGTGCGGTGTGCAAGTTAGTTTACGTGGTTTATTTTCATTAAAAATAATTTGGTTTCGGGCTTAAAGTGAAAGGTGAGTGTTGTGATGTGCCCATGAGGAAGGAGTCTGCAAGAATCGGCGCGGAAGGAAAGGAAACCAGGATTTAAAGGGTAAGTGTTGCTATTATATATATCGGTTTATTATTCGATGCCTTATTTCTTCAGTTCTTTTATTCTAAATTGATATAAAAATAAGGATGTTAAGGGAGAATTAGGTAGTTGTTTTGTACAAATTGTTATTTATTAACGACTTAATATATTTGTTTCAACAAGAATGCAAACGTATCTCGTCAGGCATTTATTCTTTAAAATTTGCCTTTTTGGCCGAAATAATTTGGAATATTTCACATTAGTAGTTTTTTTTATCAATGTTAATTACTTAAGAATTAAATCCAATTTTGGTTTTTATCTCATTACCGACCGTCTATACGTTTTAAGCATCGCTGCCATTATTAATGTTATTCATTGCAATGATCGTTACTGTTTCGTGAAACATTTAAATTTTGGAATTTCTTTAAAAACATTTTTGTATTAATTTGGGTCGTACTTAACTACATTTAAAAGAAGATCACGACTGAATCAGCAAAAAGTTTCAGACAATCATTTTAACTGAAAACTATTGTCTTCAATGTTTGAGTTTCTTGGGAATATTTTTTGAATCTTATTTATTTAAAACTAACTGTGTGATGTTGATTTGCACCGGTGTTAAAAATTAGTGGGTATAAAGTTGATGGTAACTTCTATGGTATTTTTTTTGTGGACAAATAAATTTCATGTGTATTTGTTGCAGTGGGTTCATAAATGAAGAAGAGGGAATTCGCTAAATTGTAGCAGAAGAAGAGGCCTAAAGGTTAGAATTTTACATCAATTCTAAATTGGGTGTTGTTTTTTTTAACTTTTTTTTTTGCTCGATAACTGGCTTATTTTTGTGTTACCAAAATACTTTTTTTGAGGTCTTTTTGTTATATATTTTGTAAGTACATATTTTATTATATTTTTATGTACTGTTTTTCTTACGTGCATGTTTACATATTTTTCTCCTTTTGATTTTTTTAATTGATGAAAAAAATTTCAAATATTTTGGCAACAATAATATTTAAAAAATATAGGGTGATAAAAAAATGACGTTTAAGTTTGATGGCACATTGTTAAGAAGACTCTTAAGAACTCCAAAAAAAAGGTTAAAAAAATTCCTGAACTAAATATTTGAACATATTAACTTTCAAATTTGAAGAATTAACTTCGAATTTCTGACATGTTTAAAATGACATCTCTTAACAATAAAAAATGACGTGAGTCGTATTCTAGCAATTATTAAATTATTAATAACTAATTTTTTAACTATCTATCTATGAGATATGCTGTTCATTAGAATGGCGAACTTAATTCTTCAACTTTGACATTTGATATTTTTAAAAGTTTGATGCAGAACACCGAGAGATCATAGACTATACCTGCTAAACTAGAGAACTTCAGGCTCTGGTCGAGCTAGGTGAGAGTTTCCTAAAGTCGAAGAGAATATAAACATCTATAAACTAGAGGTAAAATAATTTGAGAATAGCATGCTGAATTAAATTAATGATGCGGGGTGTATAACAAATAGAACCTGAACAGTGGCATACGTAAAGTCACTTTTAAACGGAATCATCTAATCCAACAAAGTGATTATTATTTATTATAGTTAAACGAGATTTTCTAGTTGTAAATAAATATCACACGTAGGCTTCACAGACATGGCAGGTTATCTTATTTCAGTATAACATATTTTATGACTCTAACAACTTTCCAACTTAATAACAAACCTAAGTATTACGAGATACACGTGACAGCGCACTTTAAAATAAGTTTAATTTTGTTTATTCAACTCAGCATTTTTATATATAAAACATTAATGTGGGAGACTCCACACAGTTAGAAAATTTTGGAGATTGAATACTATGAATTACAAATGATAAGAGTTTCCGCTTACGTCCAATTTTACTAAATATGTCAAATAATTTATTTTTTCAACAATCCTGAATAAAATAACTCAGTAATTTTCCAAGCTTTGTATTTAATAATATAATAAATAACACACCACATTACTCATAACATATTTCTAAATTAGATACCACTAATTGCTTAGTGGTAACTTCCTCTTAACCATTTTGATGACAGCCAATACATGGAAAAAATTCTACCAAAACAAAAACTCTATGTAACGTCATTATTATTTAATAAACAACAAAGTTATAACAAAAAAGGGTCACAATACATACATCAATACTTTAATAAAACTTATACAATAATTTCATTACTTTAATGAAATTTTGATTGGAAAAAAGTTACTTATGATTTTTACGAGTGATTAAATTAAAAGGATGAAAGCGTGCACTCACCTGTAATTTGTAAAGTTAAAAAGCTCCAGCCGTCACCTGTATACAAATCTGATAAAATGTTAATATCTTTTCTTTTATTAACTTTACAAATACAGAAAATGTTTGTGAGAATTTGTATTGGTACTTGACACATTTTCTAATATCTCTTAGAGACCAGCTAGCATAATTCTTGGATCCTCCACAGCTTGCTTAACCTTCCGTAAGAAAAACACAGCTTCACGACCATCAATAAGTCTATGGTCATATGTTAGGGCTATATACATCATGGGACGGATGACAACCTGAAATATAATTAAAATTATAATTAAATAAAAAAATTTAGTAGCTTTTTAACTACAAAAAAAAAACTCACTTGTCCCTTAACAGCCACAGGCCTTTCGAAAATTCCGTGCATTCCTAGAATAGCCGATTGTGGGGGATTGATAATTGGTGTTCCTAAAAGTGAACCAAATACGCCTCCGTTACTAATAGTAAAGGTTCCGCCATCCATGTCTTCCACAGCCAGTTGTCCTAAAAGCCCAAATTTGGATATTATTATTCCACGTCATTGCTTTGGCACATTTACCTTTTCTAGCTTTCTCTCCAAGTGCGTTTATTGCCATCTCAATTTCAGCGAAATTCATTCTCTCCACGTTCCTGATGACAGGGACGACGAGACCTTTAGGCGTAGCCACAGCCACTGAAATGTCGACGTAATCTCTGTAAATGATCTCTTGTCCTTCGATAACAGCATTCACTACAGGCTGGTCTTGAAGAGCATAAGCCGATGCTTTGGCAAACGCCGACATGAAGCCCAGCTTCAATCCAAACTTCTTCTGAAAAGCATCTAGGTTTGCTTTTCGGAATTCCATAATAAAGCTGCATAATTAAAGTATTCACAAAATAAAATCGGTTGTGGAATTTTTTCAATATTAGTCGCTAAATTTATAGTTACTTCACAGAATTATTAACGGCGATAATCCTTTACAGAAGTTGTGATTTTTTTACTTTGAAAGTATATCTGTCAAGCACATGTTACTAAATACAAGTAAATTAGGGAAACAGTGTTATTTCTTCCAGTGTCATTGTAATTTTATTTGTTTTTTAAATACATTTAATTCTCTTTCAACAAAAAAGATTTATTAAAATTTCTTTTTCTGAAATAACTTCTTCACTCAATTTGCAGTTTTTAAATAACTACCCTCTGGTGACATATTATAATGTTTCACTTTATTTTGGATTTTCGATTCATTGTCTTAAAAATTTAAAAATCAATACCAAAAAAGTCAATTTGATGACGATTAATGCGGCTTAGCATTTTAATAGACTTGGACACGACTATACAGTATATTTAGCAAATATAAAATATATTGGATAAAAAAATATGAATACAAAAAAGAAAAAACTCAATTTATTTTGCGTATAATAACTTTACTACTACGTATAATAGTAACTAGTAGTTACATTGGTAGTTATTTCCTAAAATGTTGGGAACGAAAAAGCTAAAAATTTGGATAAATGCTACTTGGAAAATCATGTTATTAAAAGTTAGTTGATTCAACTTGAACTTAACGACGAAAAATTTCATCTGAAAGACGAAACATTTCTTTATGACACTTTTTTAGGCTTTCAAAAATCCAAAGGCTTTTTTTTCAAGTGCAGAAAATACAATCGTTTAATACCGATCATTTATATTTTTCAATGGCTAATTTTTGGGCAATAAAATCTCGAATAAAGTTTTATGACTGTACACGTTAATTGTCCAAGAAATGCAGCTGTTAGCTTTTATGGCCAAGTTAAGAATAAAATTTTATGTACTACATTTCAGTTTGAAAAATTAGTACTTACTAACGAGTGTAATAATGATTACATAATACAAAAAAAAACCTGTTAATATTTGTTTAGAATTCACCCATAGTTTGCAACAACTTTTTTATTATCATTGCAACAAATTAAATAAATGACCGTTTATTCACGATATCTACGCGCATGCGCATTAGTATTCGAAAGACCGGGATGTTTGTGGTGAGTGTATACTTACGACATATCAATTTCGTTAAAAGTGGTGAGCATAGCATTAACGTTTTGTGCTTGCTTCAACCTTTCGGCAATTTTTAGTCGCATTCTGTTCATTTTCACTCTTTGTTCGGTTCGAGTTCCAGATATTTCTTTGGTGGGATCCTGCGGGGGTACTTTGACGGTGGCAGCTTCAATCGCTTGAGCATGTCTAATGGCAGCTACTGGTATGGAGCTCAGGGGGGCAGCTGGTCTTGGTGGCGGCGGCGGCGGTGGGGTACCAGCGGCTGGTTTGGGAGGTTCTGATAATTAGTAAAAAATTTGTATGCATAACATCGCCCAAGAATTAAAAAATATTGGGTTAAAGATTTTTTAGTATTTTTAGAGTTATGTTCCTCAACTTATCTAAAAATTTGAGAATTACTACGAAATACCTGCAGGTTTTGGGGGTGGTGGTGCAGCTGCGGCTGGTGGTGGAGGAGACGCTGGTGGCGCCTCAGCGGCGGGAGCTTTCGCCGGCGCTCCCTTATCTGGAGCAACACCAGTTACTTTCATCCTGAATAAGTTTTGGCCAGCTTTTACGGTGGCGCCGTTTTCCACGTACAATTCCTCAATAATACCATGTGCTGGTGCAGGTACAGGAACTGAAGTTTTATCAGTTTCAATTTCCAAAACCACGTCATCTTCAGCAACTTGATCACCCTTTTTTTTCTCCCACCTTATAACATATTTGGGTTAATATCTCGCATAATAAATAATTCGAGAGATGATGCGCTGATTTAATTATCAAAGCAAAGGTCATTATCTTTATTTGCACAATAAGATTTAATAAAGAGATAAGATTTAAAAGTTGCAATAAAGTTAATACTGGTGGGATCAAATAGGACGTAATATCAGATTAAAGTTTGAAAGTGAAAGTTCAAAAAAGGTTATAATCTACTAACCTTACATCACCTTCTGAAACTGAATCAGCGAATGGGGGCACAGTTACAATTTTAGATTCTTCAAAAAGTGCAGCAGAAGACCTAAAATATCTCACTTCTCTGCCACAAAGAGTTGTTGGCCTATAATAGAAAAAATAAATGAATTATACATTAATGTTAGACGTTTGGTAATTACCTTGCTAATACTGCATGAATAGTTTTTATCGTCGTTTTTCGTATTCTGATTCCTTGGTGGAATGCTCTATACCGCACCGGAACCTACATAATTCCATAAACCACTTTATTACATAACCCAAAAAGTAATGACTTTGTAACAATAATATTAACGAATATATGGTTCATTAATCGTAAAGTATGTTACATAATGCAATAATTGATGGAGCCATATAAAACTGTTGGCTACTTTAGCTATTTTTGACCCAAACATTTTATAACCATCACTTACCTGGGTCGCAGATTTCTCTAAATAATTATTTAGAAATCTAAAGGCAGATCGTGGTAAATTTCTACTCGTTATGGTAAGCATACCCGCCATTCTTTAAATATGAACTAATTAATAATGGTTAACTGCAATTTTCGGGACGGCAGCCCCTTATCATGTGCTGCCACAATCACAATTCCACAGAACTCCCTTTATTTCAAAATCCTGGAGAGCAGTCAAGTGTCAGTTTCCTAGGCGCTTTTTGTTTGCGTGACCGGCCGGTATGATAGATATGTCAGATGAAATATGACGTTTCAACAGTTCATTTTGCGTGGGAAATTTAAAAAATGATGTATGTTATCTATTCCTGGAATCAAGTTGTATGAATTTTGAAGGGTTACATTATTAGAAATATTTGATTACAGTACAGACAAGAGCAACACGGCTAATCCTTAATAAAGGTTGTCGTAAACATATGAACTGTCTTTTTGGGGCTCAGTCGCTGTTATTGGTACTGCGGGTTCATTGCACCGTATAAAACTAATTCCGTTAAGGTTGCTAAGTAAGTTTATTGTTGCTAATGTTTACAAAAGCTGTTAGCACTTTGTCTCGCCTTTTCTGCTACCCAAAAATTAGTGGTTATTATTATTGTAACTAAAACAAGTAAAATTTGTGGTGTACAGTTAGAAATATGTAAATACTAAAAACAGATTTATTTTACAAATATTTGTTATAAAAATGAAGATCTACTTTATTTTTGGTGAAGTTTTTAGTGAACAGATTTATTATCTTATCACTAGAGCTGTGCGGTTGAAATTTATTTACCCCCACTATCGGCCCACAGTGCCGATCGCTACACAGCCTTGCCTTGCTCGCTTCTCGCTTTTCAGTTGTGGATTATTTTTGATAATTCACACAAATAGTTTTATTGTCAGCGAGACGGACACCTGAACATTATTAAAATTATGATTACTCTTATTTCGTGAATATGGATTTTAAAATCATCAACTGACATGCCGTTAACATTATTTTTCGCGTAATTTTCTTCGCGATACATAACGTCGGATGCAAGCCTCTGGCCTGCCGGAGTGGGGGTCAATTCGCAGCGTTTAAATTTCAACCGCACAGCTCTACTTATCACGTATCAAACACTCGCACGTTCGGATTTGAGAACATCCTAATTTGGTACCTGTAAATAAAAGTATTATATGGACTGCCCACGTATCAAATGCAGTGTGGAACATCTAGAAGAGTGAGTGTAGAGGAATTACACCTGAAGTTTTAGATATCCTCTTCGGCAAGACTTCGACATTATCAGCAAGCGTGTTTATTATCATTTTTACCTTTCATAATATGTATATTTTATAATTCATACATTTTATTATTAAGAATATTTAACTTAAAGGTTTCTTGAATTGGTATTTTTATCAAAACTTGGAAAATTTTCAGGCTTCTAGGTTCAAGTGTAATTTTTTTTTTTTTTTTGGTAACATCAGTGATGTCTCAAAAATTTCTCATGAACATTTTGTATGTAACGCCAACCATGGTACCTCTCTGAGATTATAAATAAAAATTACCTAAAGCAGTTGGACTTTCACATTGTTACTCAATGTAACTAACCAAACTTCCCTAAAAAGTAAAAAGTTACCAACTAATGTCAGAAAATGGCTGCAGGAACTGCACGTTACAAAAGAATTTTGCAATTGTTGGATAAATGGCCTGCCGAAGAGGGTAAAAGTGGCAGGTAGGAGCTACGTGTGATGTTAAAAAGTTATAGCAATAGCAATATTGTTGTAAGGAAAAAATGTATTTTGGTTTCTTTTTTGTAGAGACCTGGGCGAGTTTCTTCGAAACAAAATTAACTTTGCATATAAGCAAGATAAGTTTAACGCAAATCAAAAGTATTGGGATAGCCAGTACCTATCATTGCAACGTCTAGTTAATAACGATCATAAACATAGGTATCCCAGAGTTTTAAATTCATCTGCTACTGGTTTGACTGCAGAGCAGTGTAAAGTAGCCTTATCAAACGAATTTCTGCAACAGTTACAAGAAGAAGACAAACCGTTTTATAAAAAATTGTTTACTTCAAAAACAAAGAATGAATAGTATGTTTAAACAATTGTCAAGAAAGTTTTGCACTGCGGCTGCACATGTTCCTGTGATGTCTAAAGAAGTTCTACATTTTTTAAAACCAGATGTAAATCAGGTCATTTTGGATATGACGTTTGGTGCTGGGGGTCATAGCAGACGAATATTAGAAAGTGCACCAGGTATTAAGTTACTTGCATTAGATAGAGATCCAGTTGCATGTGGTTATGCAAAAAAAATATCTGAAGAGTTTCCTAACCAAGTAATACCACTGCTAGGACGTTTTTCTGAAGTCCCTGATTTATTAAAAAGTAACAACATTAGACAAAATTCTATTGATGCTATTTTATTTGATTTTGGATGTTCTTCAATGCAGTTTGATACCCCAACTAGAGGATTTTCTATTTCACATAATGGTCCGTTGGATATGAGAATGGATGGTGACAGATTTCCCGATGATCCCACTGCAGCTGATGTGCTGGCTGTAGCTACTGAAGAAGATCTTTATAAAATCATAAAGGTGTATGGAGAAGAAAAAAAAGCAAAGAAAATAGCTCGAACTATAGTTGAAGCTCGCTATTTGTTCAAAAACTTGATGACAACACAAGACTTGGCTGATCTGGTAGATTCTGTATTTGATGATGAAATTAGACTGGATAAATTACAGAGACCTTCACACAATGCAACAAAAACGTTTCAAGCTTTAAGAATTTTTGTAAATAATGAGCTGAATGAAATTAATTATGGTTTACTTATTGCCCATAAATATTTGAAACTAGGGGGTAGAATAGTAACTCTTACGTTTCACTCATTGGAAGACACAATTGTGAAGCGCCACTTGCTAGGAAATGTTATTGCATATACTGCGAATCCACTTCCTTTGAAATTTAGTAGTCACCACAGTACTGCTGGTGACAGTATAGTCAAAGATGTTATGGAATGTAATTGGATGAGCTTAGTCAAACATGTTGTGGTGCCAAAGTATGAAGAAATTGAAGATAACCCCAGAAGTCGGTCTGCCAAGTTACGTGCTGCAGTGCGAATTAGGTAAATTATTGTAGTAAAAACAAATTTTAATAACCTGTATTTTAAATATGGTAATAAATTGTGATCTTTCATATTTCTACCAAGTTTTTTTTTTATTGTTTACAAGGTCATACTGTATATTTCAAAATTACAATTGGATAATATGACATGCTGTTGGAGAACAAATATGTAAGCTTGTTTTTTTGAAGGAGGTTTGACAATCAGACTTTCTTCATTGAAATTTTAGAAGGATGAACGCTAGTTCTTGCATGTCATTCCACTGTAAAAAAGGACGAATTTTCGGGGAAGTATGTATCCAGGAATCAAATTTTAATGAGAACTTTTTATTATAGCAAAAAAAATCAAATCATGTATATTTTCAAATCAGCGCTGTGTGCAAAAAATGTTAGTAAGTTTTGCCTATTATAACAAAATTGTCTATGAACACGAATGCTCTCTTTCTAATATAACAAGTGTTGAATAATAGTTTTTACTTATTTATCTAAACTTTACAGGAGTACCTAACTTTTAAATTATGAAGACAATAAAGTCGGTGTATAGGCAACCAACAATATCATGAAAAGTGACAATTCGCAATACAAGATGAATTTATAATACCAAAGAACTAGGTACGAAATAGGTTTTGAACTCATTTTAAATCAGTTTTACCAAAGACGATTTACATTTATATATTTATAATTTCCACAAAATTTGTTTGTCTTTTGTCTAAGTCTCCTGATGTTAATAAGTCAACAGAAGTGAATAAAACTAAGTTGCCATCAATGGAATTCTCATTAATTCATTATGTATCAAAGATAACAGATAACTGAAGAAAAAAAGACTGAAAATTCGACTAGATGATGATGATGATCATCTCAGAATTGTCTCTTAGCTAGAACCAGAATTGTTAGATTTTTGTAGTTTGGAAAGTTTGAAAAGGGTACCTAATAAAGATTATAATTATCACTAATTAATAAAATAATTCTGTAAACTTGATATTATATAAATAAAGGTGAAAACTATTCTTAAACGTAAAGCAAAATATTAAATATTAATAGTTCTGGGAAAATGGGTAAAACACATTTTAAGTCTGGGTACTTACCTTCTTTCAGTACAGTTGTTGAGCAAAATCTTAAAGTAGATATTGATAGTGTTAAGACATTTGTGTGACAATTCAAATAATAATTATTCCAAACTCGAATCACCAATCTTATTGTTGTTGGTAATGGAAATTCAAATTTATTCGGTACTTATTAAAAAGGCTTGCAATTAGAATTTTTCTGTTGTCACAATCTATTGAATCTATACATAAATAAAACAACAACTTGGGTACTTGCACCGAAATGTACAATTTTTTTGGTGTTAAAAATGATCATTTCTTCTTAGTTCTTCTGTCAAAGACTATCGAGAAAAGAAATTTCGGAGCTGAGTAGAAGAAGAACTGGTAAATGACGTAGATTTTTGCGATTTTTTGAACAGGGAGTGTTTAGTATCACTATATTATCATCTGTTTTAGTGTAGGTGTTATTAACTGGCATTATCAGAATGCAAACTTATTATGATTTTATAAATTTATTGTCAAAAGTAAAAAATTTAAATTTAGACAGTGTATAAAACTATTGAATTTGATGATGTCTTTTTAAAATTTTGTCAAGCAAATCTCACTTGAAATTTAGGTGTATTCTAACATGCTCTTTTATTTATATTTTTATAATTTTTAACTTCCTAATACGGGTTATTGTCAAACTATAATTTGTAAAATGAAATTTTATATTTTGCCGTAGGTACTGTTTTGACAACATTGATTAAATAAATTAAGCACGTTATAAAAAAAAATATTAATAAAATCTCATTTGAAACATATCCCTGTAGTTTATTATTTCATTCCTATTTTTATCTTAAGAAAGATGTAGGGTTTTTTGTGTTTTAGTAATCACAGAGCATTAATAGAATTTTATTTGTACGGTTGTACACCTTCACTAAAAATATTATTACGACATATCAAAAGCTCATTAAATGAAAGTTTATTAAAAAATATGCTTTGAAATTAGGTCCATTGCCGTTTTAATAATAGGGTAAATGTGTACAAGAGTACGCACTTAGTGTAAAACTGTCAACAACTTTTTAATTTTTTTGGATAGACAAATTTTATGATATGGGTTCGTTATATACATGTTTAGAGATCAGATATATTTAACTGTACGCCCCAACACCACTATATTTTAAGAGTAATTTCAATTTTTGTCAAGATGTGTAAATGCGCACTGTTAGACAGTTCATTGCACAAGAGTGCGCATTTGAACGCTTATGAGTACGCATTACATTTTATGAAAAAATATTTGTTTCTAAGGTGAAAATAAATGGGAATAAGTGACTACAGACTACACATAAAACGGGAGACCTATTTCTTCGTACTCTAGGGGTCTTGAAAAGACGAGAAAACGTAAAAATAGAAAGTCGGTCGACGGACTCGATTACAACACGCTCAGGAAGTAAAAATAAAAAAAAAATCGCCATAACCACCACCCCACAACTCGAGAAGCAGTACAAAGTAGTAGAGTTAAATAATTCATTACCGTATGATATGTATCTCCAAGACTATTAGACTACATATTGCAAGCAATGCGCACGCTTATACAATACCTCGCTGCGCACTCTTGTACATTTGTACATAACCTAATGTTTTCAAAGTTAAAAGCTTTTGATGGACAGAAAGTGTAAAACTGTTAGTGTATAACGACACCTTAAAAGTTACAACTAATGAAAATTATTACTGTAAAATAAAAGAACTGGTACGTACCTTACAAAAAACTAAAACTATGAGCGGTAAAAATTACATCCACACAACGTGTGAACATAAAATCGTCAGTACGACCAAACTATAAACTATATTCAGGTCACTTTTGCACCTTTATCTCAGGTTTAACATTAAATTCTGAATGGTATAACTTCATCTTACCCAGATGGCACTAATAAGCAGAAATCATCAGTGCGTACTCTTATACATATGCGCACTCTTGTACACATTTACCCTATGTACAATTTTAGTTTTTGTGACTTCTTATAGAGCAGTTGTTTGCAGATCTCAAAAAAGACTTTTTTAAAAGCATATAACTATTTTTAGTCCAGAAATTAATAATACTTCCTGGTAAATAAAGATAGATCATTTTGATGTTGTCCAATACCTACACAACAATTGTTTAGTTAGTTTCAGGTATTTCAAACTTTGTGAATATTTATAAATATCAATATTCTGATTTTTTTGTCCAAGAGTTTGTTATTTCCATTAACTTATTTACGTGACAAATTAATTCCAGCATCAACAAAGAAAATTCGTATTGATTCGGTTGTTTCGGAAGATGTTTACAGGAATTTGATCAAAATCGTTTCCATGCTTTAGTACAAGAGACTAAAACGAATGGAAATAGTTGAGCAGCGTAAGCATTTTAAACCTCTGTGATAGAATAATTAGAAGTTTTAGTCTTATTATTGCGTAAGACCTCTTTGAAGTTAAGCCGTTTGAATAACTAAGGAGCATGCTTGAAGCTTGAACACATCTAAGGAAACCAATCCTGCCGTAGAGATTTACTTTAATTTACCGTTTCTGACAGAGCATCAGACACACTGTATAGTTTGAGAGCAACCACCAGCCTCTGGCTGCGTCTTCATCTAATTTCAACCCAGAGTTATGGAAGTTTGGTCACATAAAAGACGGACAAGACCCTTCAGGACATCTTTGCATCGTAATTGAATCGGTCCTAAACTAATTATGCAATAAATAGATATATGTAATTAGGAAGTGAACATGGGAACTTTGGTGGATCTGATCGAGTTATCCAAAAGCTGTGAATGTATGTAGCATAATTGTGTCAGAGGTATTCATGCAATAAATGTCCAAAAAACCTAAACATTACATGATGACATTAATACCAACAAAGTTTCATTACATGCAACAAGTGGAAGGAAAAATAATTTTTATCGAACGTGTATAGTTTATTTTACATGAAACTACAACAGTAAAGTTGCAAATTTATTATGATAACATGGCATTACCGCATGATCGGTTTCATCCCTAAAACGCCTGAAACTGAACAAGTTATCGAGTCCCGACTTCAAGTTCTAAGCTCAAGTTTTGGCGACCTGAAAACTATCCATATCAGCTACTCCTATCAATTATTGTTCAGCTCACTCACTTACGTTTGCTAGTTTAAAGGAAGCCTTGCGAACAAGTTACTTGGATGAGTTTGCGATAGAATCTCTTGGCTCCGGGAGTTGCAAACTTGCTAACTCTGCTGTACTGGTAAAGAAAAACTACTCAACCTTCCTCCGGTAATTTGCTTGCCGCTGACGACGAGGAGACTGCTTTGTAATGAAGTTCTGCAAATGGACGAAATCATTAGCATCAGACCACATGTGCAATATGCATAAATGTTGTTATATCAGAGCATTATTAACTAAAGCACAATTACTTCCTTAAGACGGTATTTGCATAAATACATTTTAAGGATGGAATCTGGGGTAGGTAGGTATTCTGTATATAAGCGAGTCAACTGAACATGTTATAGTTGCTCTCAATAAGTAATTCAAAAGATTTTAATCCCAAAAATGTTTCTTTGCTGTCATTTTATAAAAGATGAAGATATTTATAGGTCTTAGAAGATTAGGATTTTTCATAAATTTATTTCTTTTATCATTTGGAAAATACCTAACAGGAATGTATTTTACAGTGTGGAAGAAAATCAAATGGATTAAAATAATCTATAACGAAAAATTATCTTATCTGATTTACTAGTAACAAAAAAATTAAGTATATCTTATATAAGAAAATTTTAACAAAACGAAATCTGAGTATAATCTTTTTTTTTTCTATAAAAAAGTTTTAATGTGAGTCCAGGGTGGAGCGCCATCTTGACTGAGAATTTTAAGCAGAGGTTGGAATGGTTCTGTAAGTTTTCAATACAATTTTCTCATACTACCTATGGTACTTAACATTATTAATAATCTATACTTATATAATAAAGCTGAAGCTGTTGTTTATTTGAACACGCTAATCTCAGAAACTACTGGTTCAAATTCAAAAAATCTTTTTGTGTTGGATAG